GGAATGTATCAATGTGTTTTTGTTAGTCCTTTTTTTCGTTCGGGGTCTCTGTTGCCACATATGTGTTGGGTCTTGTGAGCCTACAACACTGGGGCCACATTGCTTAAAAGAAACCTACAGTTGGGTGAAAGTAGATGTCACTTTTCCTCCCATGTGGGTTTGGTCAGCCCCTGTGCATACACAACCAAAGGGTTTGTTGCTACCTAGATTCGCCCTGGTGTACAACATCCTTCGGTGCGGCTTGTGAAGTTGGGTTGTAGGAATGGCCAGTGGAAAAAGTGATGCCACCAAGATGGCAAAACATGTTTCAACATGTCGCACTGGATTCCTTTATCTCAGCATCGGCGGAAAATGCACTTGGGATAGTGTGGACGGAATCCTGCACCAGTTGGGTGTGATAGAACCCTATACTGCGAGCCAACCACCAACTGGCGCCCGGCGCGGATTTCGCCCATCCAACGGATTTCGCAGCCTTTGGGGTTCTGTAAGCGTCACCTGAGCTGTTGATTTCCAGTGGCATATTCCTTTCATGAAGTTTTACAGGAACTGATGCATTTATAAAAGGACCCTACTTTAAAATCGCCCTTGAACCAATAATATGATATTACTAAATCAGTGCAGAGATATAATCAAAGCATAGCGATAACAATATAAATAGTGTAAATATTGGACGAAGTAGTGACAAGAGTGCACATGTTGTCCATTTAGGACCCTTGACACATTCCCCTGACGCGATTCTTTGCTTTTGAACATTCCCGCCCAGTTTGGAGGCGGGCGTGGGCAATCAATTTTCTCGCTGTTGCCTTGTGCAACTTTCCGTGCACGGCTTTGAGCACAGGTTGTCAAATTATCCTGATTGGGAGAGGGCCAGGTGGGATTCACTAAATCTCAACACAACCAGAGAATCACATGTTTTCCCCGTGCCCACTATAGCTCGATTCCGAACACGGAAATGAATGTGTCGAGATGGTACTCCAAAGGGTGAGGCTTGGCATGAGACAATGTAGAGGATCTCTGGGTGTGACATGAGCGAGCGCACTTAATGGTCTGTGTCAATCGATATGTTGCAAAGGCTCAAGCCTGCACTGTATCTAACAGTCAGGACAAAAATGCAGTTTAAATGTTCTGCGTCGCAACCGGACACGCATTTTTTTCCGGCGTCGAGAAATGAAGGGATTTTCTCACGTTCCCTTGCCAAACCCTTCAAGGGGGCAGGCAGGTTTGGCTGAAGCGTCTCAGCCGAAGCCTCTGGAAGGACACCCCCCAGGGACCTCAGGGTGTTGTGGGGGCCCGTAGAAAGGTAATAAGAAACCGTCTAAGAACCCCTAAAAACCCGTCCTTCGGGGTGCCTTATGTGTCCTGAAATGAGGATTTTTTGCAATTGAAGCAATTTGGAGCTCCCCTCAGCCGACCTTGGTAAGCAGTCGGCTATGCACAGAATGGGATAGGTATCGACTCAAAAGCCTCGAGCCGCCCCACTGTGCATATACTGTAAATTCCGACAGTGCGCGCAAAAACCAGCCGAGAAGCGCTTGTCAAGGCGAGTGCATGTGTGATAGCTGGTGTTTTGTTTTGTTGATTTGCGTGCTTGCTTGATTGTTTGGTTGTTTAAGTTGTGGTGTTTGTTTATGTTCTGTTTGCTTGCTTGCTTGCTTGCTTGCTTGCTTGCTTGCTTGCTTGCTTGCTTGCTTGCTTGCTTGCTTGCTTGCTTGCTTGCTTGCTTGCTTGCTTGCTCACTTGCTTGTTTGCTTGCTTGCTTGCTTGTTTGTCTTTGTTTTGTTGCTCACTTGCTTGCTTGATTGGTTTATTTGTTGGTTGTTTGTTTGCTTGCTCACAAGCTTACTTGCTTGTCTGTCTGTTTGTCTGTCTGTCTGTCTGTCTGTCTGTCTGTTTGCTTGCTTGCTTGTTTGTTTGTTTGTTTGTTGTTATGTATTTTGTTTTTGTGCTTGTTTCAGTTTGTTTGTTCGTTGGCTCGATCGGTCGCTTGCTTGCTTGCTTGCTTGCTTGCGTGCTTGTTGGTTTGTCTGATTTGTTTGTTGGTTTGCTTGCTTGCTTGCTTGCTTGCTTGCTTGCTTGCTTGCTTGCTTGCTTGCTTGCTTGCTTGCTTGCTTGCTTGTTTGTTTTTGTTTGTGTGCTTGCTTGTTTGCTTTGTTTAATTGCTTGCTTGTTTGTCTGTTTGTTTGAACTTTCTAGGAGGTCATTTGACTGGTGAACACAGGGTCTAGACTCGCTTTGTACTAACCTTCAAGAAGTGATGATTTTTCCGGCGTGCGGTTTTTGTTGTTTGTTGCTTGCACCATACTTTGGCCTTTTGTGGGCGTTGCTTCTTTGCACATTCCGTTGGACTTTGCCGCCCATCTTTTGGAAGTCCTGAAAAACCAGGGTGTGTCTTTGTGCCCGCCACTTTTTTGCGTGTTCCTTTTTGAGACACCCGGCTGTCCGGTTCTTGCCGCTTCCGGCCGCTTCCGGCTTCGGGTTGCTTCGGCCTTGTGGTTCCGAGGCAGAAGCGGGTTCGCCTGTCTGACGACCTGCCGACAGGAGGGTTCGCTGGATTTGGAGCCAGACGCGGTGAAAAATTTGCCGGTGGACTTTCTAGGGACTTTCAAAAAATTCGATTAGGCAGTTCTTGATCAAACATATTTGTAAGAATTGCCCAACTCCCCATTCATTCTTTGGGAATGGTTGTCTGAAAGTAACTTCTCCATTTCCATTCTTTCCAGCGACCCTTCTTTCTAAACCTCCAGAAACCCCGGGAAAATGCCTGGTTTCGGAGAAGAACGATGGTGGACCAGAATGGGTAATCAAATTTTAGAGAAATGGCTGTGGGTCAACACCAATGGTATTATTTTTGGGCTAGGTGCACCACCCATTTTAGAACCTATTTTAGTGGTTGGATTGGGGGGTACGATTTGGATTTTGAACCATGGCCAAATAGGAACTTGACAACCATATGGATTCCCCCAGAAAGGCACCCTGGCCACGGCGACGAGAAGCAGTGAAGGACCAGGTCTGGCAAATTTGAGCGGCAGACCCTTTGCCTAGCTACACATGGACGTGGTTCCAGGGTCAAAGCGCGTGTTTTTGTTTCTTATTTTTTCTGCGTCAAGTTGCAGGGTGTTCTTCTTTTAGTATGCTACGGTACCTGCCTTCCCCGGGCGCACCTGAGGCACTAGGTTCCATTGCCCAACCTCTGGGAGCTAGCTGAGACTTGTTTGACACAAGCAAGTGGACAGAAGTGGTGTGGAAGGCTCGCATGTTTATCTTAAAACGGGCAGTCCTCCACTCCCATGATTGTTGGAAACAAACTTACAGCTGGACTTGTTGATTGACTTCCATTTGCTTAAGAAAATTTTATAATTCCTCTGTTTGTTGTAAAAGGAATCGATTACTATTGGAACTATGTTTCTTCCAGGGGGCCTGTGCCAGGATCCAACTTCTACGAAATCTTGGGTGTGGACAAACTCGCAGAGCCCTAAGCCTCTAAGCCTCGACCCGGGCAGGCTGGTGGCGGACAGTTTTTGACGTGTCAAGATTCCGGGGCCCGACCACAATGGTTTGCTCAAAAAACGGGATGCCCCAAAAGTGTCGTCAGTTTCGAGACATTCCCATCCGATTGTGGCAGACGTGGGAGGAGCAAGCGTGCCCTTGGGCACGTTTCCACATAACCACCAACTCCTGGTTGACCTGTGGCAGGTGAGTTCTCTCCGTATAAGGTGCGTCGATCAATTTGCCTATGGAAACGCATGAAACGCTGCTTGCGAAGAGAGGCGCCGACCTTCATTCGGATTTTGTTTTGGCCTTGGCACTTGTTGGGAGTACAATGTGCTGATAACACCTAGACTTCCAGTGATGCCTCTGTTTTTGCAGAGGGGTTCCCTTTGAGCTGTGTTTGCTAGTAGATGTCAGATTCTTCAGACTTGTTTGGCACGCAGAGCATCACTGCAATTTGTTGCTCGGGACCTCAATCTGAGCAGAGTCGGTTTGTCTCCGAGACTCGGCTCCCTGACTTTTGATATACTTGTTGGAAGCGCCATTTTGGGTAAATATGTCCCTCTCCCCATGATCGTGATGTTCCTTGTGGTTTCCCTTTAGACAACCTGAGTATTGGTACCGACAAAAATGCGCCACACGCGCTTTGGCGAGCAAACGGTTTTAGGCATGAGGTGCGTCATTTTGTTGAGGAAACCGTTTTTGGGGGTTTGGTTTGAAACCAACACACATCGCTCATTTTTAGGGTTCCCCTTGAAGACCAAACCCAGATGTTTTCTGGCTCCGACCTGTCGAAAGATGTCGCAAGGGGTTGCATTTGTCTGTTCAACCGAGCTCCGCAAAGGGAAACCAAAAGGAGAACGGCCCAACAAAGAGCAAGAAGCCACCCCAACCAAAAGGACAACGGTTCATTAAACAGTTGTTTCAATCACTACAATGGATTGGCCCAACCCCTGGCACAGCACAAGAGCCTTGGCAAACACAGGTAGAAAGGATGCACGGGGTAGGACCCCTCCCCAAAAAAAAGCGAAACGAACACGCCTTGCTTTCAAGAGCAGCCAGCAGGCCGGGGCTTTCCTGTAACAACCCATCCTTTGGCTTTGCTTGAGGCGAGGGGGGTGTCCCTGCCAAAGCAAGGTGCCAGTTTAGTTTGAGGGGGAGGTTGGGTTCTCCTTTAAAATCAAACTACTTCTTTGCTTAGGGACTTTCCCGTTCAAACATCCCCACCCCCTTTAAAGTCGAATTGGGGGAGGGAGTCAATCCTATTCCATGTCTAGCTTCATTTTCCCTTTTGTGGGGAGGACTGGGAAAATGGAATTGCCCAACCCCCCCGCTCCCCCTGAAAGTGGGGGATGAGCCGCGTTTCGCACCGAGGCCACTCAAGATGAGATCCGCTCCGCTTATAAACGCTGCGGCCCCAGGGTAGTTGTTTCCCCAGCCGCGATGTACGTGGCACCCTCTTGCCGTTCCAAAGTGATAAAATACTGGAGCATGCAGCCTTGTCTCCACATTGTGGAACCTCTTTCTCATAACAGAAGGTAGTTTGGTTGGTAGGTTTCCCACTACTGTAAGCATGTCAACCCAAAGACACTGAGCAACTGGGGTGTGTCTTTAGTTTCTCCCACTACTGGAAATAGTTGTTGTGTTCTTCCAGCGGACTTAACCCAGAGGGTCCAAGTACCTCCTGAGGATGGCTTTTGGGAGGTAAACAGGGGTCGTTCAGTACCTCCTTAAGGTACCAAGGGACCCTCTGGGTAAGTAGAGGGAAGCAGATCTGCTAATACTTGCCTGGCTTGCCCATTCACCTGCCGAATGGTCAGAAACTTTCCGTCGCTGACCGGTGGTTTTCAGTGCCAGTTGAACGTGGCAGAATCCTGTTGGGTAAGTGTCTCAGGGAATGCGAGGCCCAACTGCATCCCAAGGTTCCCAACCTGAAATCCATCGGTCGCGACTTGGGCATGTTTCTTCACTCCTTAATTTAACCGGGGTGGGGAAGACACCGGCCACTTGCGCATGATTTGGGATGAAGGGACACCCAAGGGCATGTTCTTCGGCTCAGATTTTTGAGACAAACCCACGGACCTGAATCCCATGGCCACGAGTTCCCGCAAATTTCCAAGGTCCTTCAGGTGGAACAAGTTTGCAGTCGCCATTGAATCCTGGCCTTGGTTCCCAGCAAAGCCTCTTTTAACGGCGCCACGTGTTTCCGGGGCCTGCTAAACTAGGTAAGCATGGTTGCAAGAGTGGTTACAGCATGGTTACAAGCATGATTATGAGTGACTGCAACAGGCGTTGCTAGACACAACAAGGTATGACCTACCAAGTAGGTTGAACCCAAGCCGAAACGTGTTCTGCGCAGGCGTGATCCGGCAAACACATCCTGACGTGAACCCTTCAGAAGATGCAGCCCAGAGGCGAGGTATGAAGGGCGAATCTCTCTTCCTCGCCGGCTAAGGGGGCAGAAAGACATTCTCGTAGAACATGATCTGTGAGGGGCCATGGTATTGCCATAGCTGCCATACCAAGGAACATCCCCTGAAAGTGACAAACGCAGAAGCAGGTCTAACCAAGATCCCTTACTTGTCAAAGATACTTCTTTGCAGTATAGCTTTGTCGAAAAAAAAAAGGTTAGTGTTCCAAGTGTTTGGAGCAAATATCTTACACATGTTTGGCGAGGTCGTCAAAGGCCTCCGCAATATGTCAAAGCGGGGGTCGTCTAAGCCAGTGGCCCCAAAAAAAAAAGACCCCAGACAGGGCGGCCAAGCACCAAAGCAGCAACTTCGCCAAGCCACCACCAATGGGAGGAAAGTGGGGGCCTGCAAACCTGGATCGAAGGTATCCACGCTAAAATAAATGGGGGTTGATGAAAAGGATGAGCATGGGCTGACCAGTGGGGGTAAAAACCCACGAACAAGTTGATATTTCAACCACATGGAAACAAGCTACCCATGGTCGCTTGGGGGCCAGGAATACTGATCAACACCCATGTATTTGTATATGTATTTTGCATATGCTGCCCACCTTGGTGCGTGCGCGTTTGTCCTAGCTACATTCGCTGACTTTCCATTAATTTTCTTCAGTTCGCCGACTTTTCGTTGTCCATGCCAATCTTGAGTTGGATCAGCTACTCTTTGGAGCCTTCCATTTGCTCAAGAATGTGTTTACTGATTTAATTGTCCCCTGCATGATTATATATATATATATAGACAGCTACATGCACCGAAGCGGTGGCAAACAGCGAGTACTCTCTCATGAATGGTGCCTTTCCAGCATACCGACTTCGCTTAAGTCCTGCAGCCCCACTATTGGAACACCCCAACCACCAAACAAACAAGCTGTTCGAGGAATGAAACAACGCAAGCAACACAGGATTTCAGATACAGGGATTCTATAACTACTGCTTTTCCAGGGGACCTAGCCAATTGGAGGGAACCTTTCTGCTGGACTTGGGTTTCTATGATCTCGCGAGGTATATCCAAGCGAGTGCTATTTGGTTGCAAACAGGAAACGAGGGATCCCAAAAAGTTTCGAGGGTGCAACTCTGCAACTTGTTTCCACACGTCATTCTGCCTGCCGTAGGGTGATTTCATGTAGATGTCAAACGAGCTCGCCATGGTGTGGCTTCTTGTTTTTGGTTTCTGTGTTTGTTCTTCAAACAAGAAGAAACTGGGGTCTTTCAAACCAAAGCACCCATCTTGCAGCATCCCTTCTTGCAGCCCACCAAAAGGAGCGACCCGGTTTAATCCAAACAGTGCGGAAATCCACCCACCCTTCAAATGGATTTGGCGGGTGGGGCTGATCCCCAGAGTTCCCTTTCTCGTTGACCAAAACTTAGTCTACACTGTCATGTCCGACTCCCTTGGGCGGAAGAGCTTGCAGGTTACTGAAGCTGAAACAAACACTAGATCAAATTGTGTGTCATGAAACAAACCCTAGATCAGATTGTATGTGATATCCGGGCCGAACCTCTAGCGGGGTTGTTCAATTGCAATCCTCAATCCTTCCCCTGAACGGGGTGAAGAAGGCAAAACCGACACAATTGTTCTTTACATTGCCACACCTAGCTTGTGTCAGGCAATCAGTTGGCGGTTTAGATTGGCGGTTTGGACTTTGACTTGAACCCTGGTTCTCGTAGAGGTGTAAATAGGAATCCACCCTGAACCTCCACACTATCAAACCAAACCTCCACGAGGAAAGCCGACTTCTTGTGTTTTTTAAGGCTGTCCCTCCCAGGCTTTGGATTTTTCCCGGTGCTTTCCAACTAAAACTCGCTGACATGTTGGAGGATGCCATCTCCGTTTTCCCCCGAGGAAACCACGGCGAGAAAAAACCGATCGGCCGTCGCCAGGTTCATCCAAGCGCAGGAGGCCTTCCGTTGGCTCTCGGACCCGCAGCAGCGCGAGGTCTATGTCGGGGAAGCCCAAGCCGACCGATTTGGGCCGAGGGAAAGGGCGGAGTGAAGGAGTCCCCAAAATAGATCTGTTTTTGTTTTAATGGCGAGCTCACCTATGACAAAGCTCCTTTACTTGGGGATCCCTTGATTTAGCTTTTGGAGGTAAAGCAAGAATTGCAGATGGGTGCGGTGGTCCAGTTACCTGTTACTAAAAACCAACCTCAACAGGGGGTACCCTCAAACACATAATATGCCGATTTTCAGGCTAACTTGGTATGACGGGTTCTTCCCAGACCATCCCGGAAAAGCAGGATTTGGGGTGTATCGGGTCTCCAAAGTTAGTTTACGCCTCAGCGCAGACTAAATGCAGAATTTGACGATATGAACTGTGTACCCATGTTGGCCAAGATGCCCTCGAGGAGGTGTTTTTTAGAAATCCTGCCAGTGTCCTTGAAGCCTTGCATGCTTCCTTTGAGACCCGTCCCAGGCACGTTGAATGGTATCCCTGTCTGTTGTTGGGTCGCCCAATCCAATCACCTCTTGATAGAAGATCAAGGGTTGGTCCAAGCACCCATCCCTACCTGAGCCACAATCAAAACCTGGGTAGATGAAGGTTAGTAAGGGGCAGTCCCAGCCAGAAATAGTTGCGGCTGCCTTCTTAATTCTTGAAGCATGGTTCTGGGTCACAATTAAACCACCAGAAAACCACTGGTTTTAGTCCTTGCTTCCATTTACCGCTCCATTTGGGGTACCTCTTTTTGACCACCACAGCCTGGTTCTGGGGTTACGACCATTTACTACCGGGTTTTCTTATTTCGACTCACCAGGTCCGGGACCGCAAACTCGTCCGGCCCGAGGATGGCGTGGGCGGCAAGTTCGGCGAGGATGCCCTCTACGCGCGGGGCCCGGAGGGCTCCTGGCAAGGGCGGGCTGCACGACGCGCCGAGAGCAAGGTGTTTTTGTTTTGGGTGTCAGCCATTTCTAGGTCCCCCAGCAATTGGTGCCCTTTTACCTTTTCTTTTTTTTGTTTGGGAGGGTTCACCTACTAGAATAGACTGCAGAAAAAACATCGGGCACCCTTATTCTAAGCTCTCTACTGGAGGACCTAGATGTGGTTTTGAAGTACCCCACAACCCCATTCTATTTTGGTAGGCCCTACTAGTAGACACCACACCCCTAGTTGAAACCTTGTGAAACACCCCTTACACCGTTTCCAGCAAGCCCGCCCATGTTCGGGCACAAGCACACGTTCACGTGTGAATAGGCTTTCCACCCTGCGTTCCCGTCAAGTTTGCTGCAACTGGACCGTTCAGCAGGCCTGCGCTCGCTGGGATGTTTTGCCAGCGTCTGGAAGCAGAGGGATTCATCGCTGCTCATTTTGTCATGGTCGCTGCAACGCGACAGAATGAAGATGTATGCTCTAAGCGGCTGGGTGGATGGATGGATGGATGGATGGATGGATGGGTGGGTGGGGTGGGGGGGTGGGTGGGTGGGTGGGTGGGTGGGTGGGTGGGTGGGTGGGAGGATGGCTGGTCCTATGATCATTGCGTAAAGTAGTGGAAAAGTTCCCCACGACGCAATTCTATCTATTTAGACACGTATTATTAGTGCATTTGCGTTTTGCTTCGGCCTTTGGGCCTCGGCTGCATACCTTGTGATTGTTCCCACCAACTGAGTAACTGAAAGAAATTGCTCACTCGTAAGTTCGAGCTACCGCCCCTTATGTCCAGGTTTCTTGCTTTTGGGGGTTTTCGGTTGCCTGGCGTTTTCCGCTGCTCCTGTTTCCTGCTGGTTGCTTGGAACCCCCGTCTTTCGCTTCGGGCGGCGCCAGGACTACTCGGATGAGCCCATTTTGGGCTCGCTCACGGAGATCCGCAAGATTCAGGACAGACTTCGCCCCCAAAACCCCAGACCGCCGGAGGCTTGCTTCCTTCTGTCAACTTCTCCATTTGCAGAACCCCTTTGAAATCAACGACCGACACCAGGTGCTTGTTTTCTGGCCCTGGAGGTCACGGGATTGGCAACCTCTTCACTTGTGTGTTTCTGTGTCACCTGTGGGGAGTTCCCATGTGTGCGTCTCCCAAGGGCAGAACCATCCCTTAAAGAAATAACTTACAAGGGCCGCTCAACAATGATACACATTTGGCGTTGGCTCAAAAAAGTGGACCTATTCTTGGGCCCCTTGGATGGAAACAAAGTCCAACACCTGCGTAACCCCAGCTCCTTAACTTTGAGCCACTCCCACTTGGATGCCTTTTCCCGAACCGTTTAGCACTTGATCCACAAAGGGAACCACCAGGAGACGATGTGCGTGCTCTTCTCAGACGCGGGATTGTAAGCGGATCCTAGGTAGGGTTGACCGGCCCTCCTTCGGTTGTGGCATGCTTTGTTCATGTCGAAATATCATGCAATTTGGCTCGGTTCAAGCTGAGTCTATTGAAAGGGTTTGGAATGAGACGCTGTCCAAAGGCAAGGCCAAGCTTCCGTTTTGTCGACCCCCACTTCACACGCTGCCTGCATTCCCTTTACTCAGGATGCTTGATTTCAGTTGACGTCTCATCGATTTCCGGTGCCATCCATTTTTCCAAACGCACACCCGAGCCGACCTGGGCAGATGAAGGGCAGCAAGGGACCGTCCCAGCCAGAAGCAGATCGCCCCTTGCATGGTGGATAGACCACTTGACCCAGTTTTGATGACCCCGAAAATGGCTGCCAGATAGGACATGTTTGTTCATGTTTCTTAAAGAGCACCGTTTGATGACCCCCAAAATGGCTGCCAGATAGGACATGTTTGTTCATGTTTCTTAAAGAACACCTTTTGATGACCCCCAAAATGGCTGCCAGATAGGTCATGTTTGTTCATGTTTCTTAAAGAACACCTTTTGATGACCCCCAAAATGGCTGCCAGATAGGACATGTGTGTTCATGTTTCTTCAAGAACACCTTTTGATGGCCCCCAAAATTGCTGCCAGATAGGACAGGTTTGTTCATGTTTCTTAAAGAACACCTTTTGATGACCCCCAAAACGGCTGCCAGATAGGATATGTTTGTTCATGTGTCTTAAAGAGCACCTTTTGATGCCCCCCAAAATGGCTGCCAGATAGGTCATGTTTGTTCATGTTTCTTAAAGAACACCTTTTGATGACCCCCAAAATGGCTGCCAGATAGGACATGTTTGTTCATGATTCTTAGAGAACACCTTTTGATGACCCCAAAATGGCTGCCAGATAGGACATGTTTGTTCATGTTTCTTAAAGAACACCTTTTGATGACCCCCAAAATGGCTGCCAGATAGGACATGTTTGTTCATGTTTCTTAAAGAGCACCGTTTGATGACCCCCAAAATGGCTGCCAGATAGGTCATGATTGTTCATGTTTCTTAAAGAACACCTTTTGATGAACCCCAAAATGGCTGCCAGATAGGACATGTTTGTTCATGTTTCTTAAAGAACACCTTTTGATGCCCCCCAAAATGGCTGCCAGATAGGTCATGATTGTTCATGTGTCTTAAAGAACACCTTTTGATGACCCCCAAAATGGCTGCCAGATAGGACATGTTTGTTCATGTTTCTTAAATAACACCTTTTGATGACCCCCAAAACGGCTGCCAGATAGGATATGTTTGTTCATGTTTCTTAAAGAACACCTTTTGATGACCCCCAAAATGGCTGCCAGATAGGACATGTTTGTTCATGTTTCTTAAAGAACACCTTTTGATGCCCCCCAAAATGGCTGCCAGATAAGGCATCACCGAAAGAAGATGCACACCTAGGCTTACCTTCTCCCATGGCCTCTTCAGGAGCTCACCCCTGGCATCGACTCGGTGAACCAGTGCCGCAAAGAGCGCGGCCACCAAGTCTCCGAGTCACGACCGGCAGCCGCACTGCGGCTGGTTCTTTCTAGGGATCCTTCTTTCTGATGACAGCGGTATGGCAGGCTATCTATGCGTCCAGCTTGTTTGATGTTTGCAAATGAGAGCGGCTGAGCAGGGAACGTGCTATTTAATTGTCCAGATGGGTTGCTTTTTGCAAAGGAGAGTGGCCGACCAGGGAAAGTGCCGCTTAAGTTTCTAGATTGTTTGTTTTTGTTTGCAATGACAGCGCCTCAGGGAAAGTCTTCACAAATTCCAGCGACTCAGCAGAGAAAGTGCCTTTTTAAGCTTCCAGTTTGTTTGGTTTGTGCCAATGACAGCGGCTGAGAAGGGAAACTACGATTTAAGTGTCCAGATTGGTTGGTGTTTGCCAATGACACCCAAGTGGATATGTCTCAAAATACAGGCCTCGTGGACAGCCTGGTGCCCGATTGAACCCATGGGTGGTGCACACACAACGTAGGGTCTTCTCCGGGCAGATCTGTGAACTTGGTGGCTAGCCATCCGGTTCCTTAGCTTCTTAGATCCTTTTAGTGTTTAGTGGTTTCCATTTACCCTCCCTCCAACAATCATGGAAGCTGACAGGAGGGTGTTGAAAGACTGTTTTCCTCTTGGGGAAGCCCCCTGTCCACTTCCATGATTGTTGGAGGGAGGGTAACCCACAAGTTCTTCACTTTCAGCGGGAGATCTGACAACGGGCAGTCCAGTGATCCAAGGCTCACCGCCAGACAAGAGGCATGGAGCTCGGATCTCGCGCGACCTGGGCCCTTCGGGGACCTGGGCCCGAGCACGTGCGAGAGATTGATGCGAGAATGAGAATGAAATAACCATAAACCATCCAACTGCTGGTTTCCTAGGGAATCCCCAGGTTCATTCCCTCATTCCCTGAGCACCAGCAAGCATCTTCAATTTGAGCCTTTGAGCCTAGGCCCTTCTTGCACGCGAGCCTTTGGCCACGGTTATTCAAGCAACTTTGTTGCCACATGCAAATCAGCTAAGGGTACATGACTGGAGATCAAGGGTGATGGCAGGTAATCCCAAGCTGTTAAGCATTTGTAGCTGGAGAGGTGATCCATTTTGTTGGCGTTCGAGTTCCAGATTGGGCATTACGCGGTAGGAAGGAGAGACCCATCCCTTTCTGTCTCTAGGATGGATCTGTGGTCAGTTTTGATTGGCAGGAGGTGGGCAACAATTCGAGATTCCACTCACACATATCCAAAAGAAGCATGAAAGAAGTGGACAGAGACAACTGATTCATATGTTACAGGTAAAAAGGTTCTGGGAATGACGTGTCAAGATACGACTACAAGTTACAAGATAAAAAGTTGTCTACAGGAATTTGACCACCTATCCAGAGCAAAGAGACACGATTCAGAAACCAAACGCATGGATGAAACGAAAACATTGAATATACTAGGTGTAAATTAAGTTAAATAGCGTGAAGGTGAGAGGCGTTGCGAAAGTAACATTCATAGCAAATCCAACAATGCATCCTGTATAATTGTTTGGCACAGCTGTTAACCAAGCACATTGGCATAAGCAATGGCATTCAGGTGCCGTATGTAAGGGAGTTGGGAATCAGAGAACCTGGAGGCGACTTGAACAAGATATATAGATAGATATAGATATATCTCTCCTTAGCTTTTTACACATACTGACCGGGAACGTGCTACTTTCTTATTTGGAATCCTGTTAGGATTATTCGAAGATAGGTCATGTCGATTGAAGACATGATCAAGGCGAAAGCCACAGAGACGAAATGGAAATAGAACATGAAAGTCAAAGACTCTCTTCAATGTTGGGTTGCCCTCCGCAAAAGCATGCTATTGAACGTGGAATGGGAGATACTGAATGCGCAACTACGGTACCCCCCCCCCCACAAACTCATAATGTCCATTTGGTACAACATAAGTTAATATATCCCATTATAAGCTTCAAGAACCTGTAAAAATGTCGTACCCTGACTAAAACATCGTGTTTTTTCTCGATTTTCTGAAAACATCGTGTTTTCAGGAAAAACATTGTTTTTTTGACAAAACCCCTTAAAAATTGGCTTCTGAGGCCAAACACTCATGTGGAGCAAAGGGTCAAAGGCAAGGGTCGGGAGTGGATTCACACAGACATCACCCATTAAGATTTCAACTGAGGGCAACGCTCTATACTGAGTATGCTTCAAATTCTAAGGACCACATTGATGAGCCTGACAGCCAGGGTGTGCAGCTGGCTTCAGTTTTGAAGTACCTTTCACAGCAACAGGCACCTGAAGACTGGCGCCAGGTCATACCGAACCAGTTTGAAGGGGGTGCTGGAATCCGAAAGCTCCTTTTGGTGCAAAACAAGACCAGGTGACACTTTTGAGATTGTTTTTCTCAATGTTGAGTTTTTTTTAGCAAATGGGGCGGGATCCTGGCGGCTAACCGCAGAAACCCGCAGAAAACCCGTAGAAACCCATAGAAAACCCGTAGAAACCCGTAGAAAGCCCGCAGCCCCAACCGAAAACATCGTGTTTTTGGAAAACATCGTGTTTTCTAACCCGTAGCTAAACCGTGGAGAACCCGTAGTAAAGCGTGGCAAAGCGTGGAAATTCTATGGGTTTTTCGGGTTCAACCACGAATGCGCTAATTCGAGAATGTTGCTGGAAAACAACGAAGTCGTGAGCAAAAGCACGGTCTTTGCTTGAGCTTGCGCGCTGTTCGAAGCCAGCACGCCCTCATCATGGCACTGCTGCTTGACAAGTGTCATAAAACCGTGGTACTTTTGACTATTTGGGTCCCCGGCCTCCTTCTTTCAGGTTGGAGTTGCGAAAGACGAGTGGCGAATGCGAAGCTGATTTCGTTGCGAGTGCAAAAGGGGAGGGCGATGGGAGATTCTGAGGTTGAGATGATGCTTTTGAGATCTTTTGAGAACGGATGACGAGTTGAAGGAATGTATGGGAAACTGCTTGAAATCGAAAATGCGGTGTTTCCCGAAAACATCGTGTTTTCCCAAAAAACATCGTGTTTTTTGTAGGTACATCGGTTTTTGAGGCTCCTGGTAATTATACATATTGCGTCCATGAAGCATAAATACAAATACACGCAGACAAGCAAGTGTTAATTCAAATTCATGCACACAAGCAAGTATTTGGATTTTGATTTTTTGCGAAGCATAAGATATAGCTCTTCCATGCAGCAGCGAGAGGGAAACGATGCACCAATAGAATGAAGATGACGCAAACACCATCCATTGTATATGTATCCAACTGAAAGAATGTACCGGCAAATGCTGAGTTACTATTTGATGCTACTAGAGAGAGAGAGAGAGAAAGAGAGATACAAACAGTGTAGTAAAGCAGTAACTCCTAATTCAATCAGAGCAATGATATTTCATCAGAGGAAACATTGTATAGGTGTAGGTGATATTTCGTGAGTACAAGTTAAATAGTGAACATCAGCATAAGGGAAGGTCTTGTTTATTCCCGACGTCAATCTGTGCTGCACCCGATCTTATCAAAGGGTGCAACGCCTTACGTGTGGGTTCCTTAACTTTGGGTTGTATGTCGAGGGTTTCGGACCCAGCCTTTGAACAAAAACAACACGAGCTCCACTTTAAACGCATGCATTAAGCACAAACATCTCCACCTTGAGCACAGCAACATAAGCTGCACATTAAACGCACCAAATCTCCACATTCAGAACAAGAACAGCTCTAAAACGCACCCAAACTCCGCATTCAAAACAACAACAGCTCCAAAAAAGGCACGCCAAAATGGATCTATGGGGTCTTGGGCCGCCGTTCGGCAAATGGAGCCCGAGGTAAAGATTCCTCATCACATCGCGGACATTCGCCAGCGTTTCAGGCGCAAATCCGTGAGCGTGGCAACCGGCTTGTCTGAAAGTACCGGGACGTCAGGCCCCATTTTTTTCTGGATCCAGGAACAGGTGGAAACTGTTGCGTTTTGTCTTGCACGTCCATGGTGGGCAACATGGTGTTTCTGAACCACCTTCTTAGCAACTCCTAGTTTTGCAAGTGGCGTGGCGGGCGGGTTGAGGCTCGGAAGTGATCCAAAAGAGCAGGAAAACAGCAGTAACTTGTCCATGCGTTTTCTCATCGTGAGCTTGGAGGGTTGTTTTCAGGGTTCAGCCAATTTAATTTAATCTAGGCCAAATCCATTGAAAGCGAGATCTAGGTTCAAACCCTGGTTGTGTCGAACATGCCGGAGCTTCCGCCATGAAAATCAATATGTGTGGCTGTCGATTTCATGTCCGTCCCTGAAGATGCCTTTACTGTCGACGTTCGCACGAACTGGCCAGGGTCTACGGCAACGAGCGCATGAAGTACGTGAGGACTCGGGGGGACACGAGGAACTGCATGCCAACATTGGATCGGATGCGTTTTTTTCCTGTCAAGCGGCTGGGAATTTTGTTGGAACTTGTCCTTTGGCGTCCGTTCTTGTGTCCTTTGTGGCGGAGTCGTGTTTTTTGCCGTCAGCGATTAAACCCTGCATTGTTAGAGTGAGACCGCCAGTGTCAAGATAGGGGGACCACAAAACTGGTGGTTTTCCTTTGCGATTGCACTACAAACCAATCCCAACAAGTGCACCCACAACAAACACTCAGTTGTCCAAAGCGCATTGACCTTGTAACCTTTTGGTTTTCCTTTTGTGGCAACCATTGTTAGCAAAGGTCCCAAAAGGTGACCTTCTTTTTTCAGGGTCCCTAAGAATGGCAACTGAGAACAAACTCACAGAGAAACCGATCATTCCACGAGCTGTGGCCGCATCAGACGTCAGACTTCACTTCGGACTTCGGACCGAGGAATTTCTTCAACCGGCGCCTGAAGGCCGTCCTGGAGTATCCCAAACTCATCAGGCGAGTGCCCTCGGGGTGCGCCGATGCGGGGCTGAACTCTGAAGCGAATTGACCGGATCAAACCTTTTGGTTACCCCCTTCTTGGTCAATTTGTAGTTTTTGGCCCCAAAAGGTTAACCCTTTATTGCGAGGTCCGTTTTTCCTCTGTTTGTATTAAAAGAGAATCTCAAGCTACGACTACTGGAAATATGTGTTGTTTTAGTCGTGTTTACAGGGAGTCTAAGACTGCTCGAAGCTGACGCGTTTGGGGTGTTGAGTCGTCTTCTTCGACTTTGTGTCTTAGAGGTTATGTTCTTCGGTTTCAGCATTGTGGTATGTTTTTTTGTTTGTGATTTGCAGTGTTTATGTGTGTCTGTGTGGGCCATGTTTGTGGGGTGTGTTAGTGTGCGTGGGTCTGTGTGTTTGTGTGCCTGTGCGCATGAATTAGTGTGAAGTGTGGTGTGTTTCCGTGTTTGTGCAGTTCGCTATTGTTGTGTTGGAGTGTTGATGTGCTTTTTTTGTTTTTGTGTGTGTTTTTGTGTGTGTGTGTGTGCGTGTGCGTGTGCGCGTGCGCGTGCGCGCGTGCGTGTGTGCGTGCGTGCGTGTGTGCGCGCGCGCGTCTTTCTGTCTTTCTGTCTTTCTTGCTTTCTGCCTGTCTGTCTGTCTGTATGTCTGTCTGTCCGGTTGTCTGTCTTCTGTGAGCAGCCGAGGGTGTTCAAAACAAAATGCCTGTCCCCATCGATCCAAATTCTGTTTTGTCCATGAGGTGAGGCAAAAGTGGTTGCTTGACTTTTGTTCCACAGCCTAAGCTACTTACTAAGTTGGTTGACCACCCAAGCATGGCAGCCTGTCGACGGAGCAGCTCACTCACGTTCCGAAGCCATTGCCAACCATCAGGCAACATGTTCGAAAGTCAGGTAGATCACATATGGGTGGCGCCTCTGTTTTGGGGGTACCTCATTTTTTTAGTTGGTTTCAAACAGAGGGACACCAACCGTTTTGGGGGGTCTCCTAGAAAGTCACAGTGGGGAACCTCATGATTCATTAGTTGAACATCATTCTGAAAGGGTCTGGTTTAAAAGGACTGGTTCGACATGCAAGTGCAATAAAAGCTGGGGTATGGGATCTCATTCTGACCCCCCCTCCGGTGGCATGCAGCTCAATGGCCTTCAAATCAAGGCTCACTGACCCCAAACTTACCTCTTAAAAACACAACTTTTCAACTTTTTGGGTAACATGGGCTATATGTCTGTAAAAGATTAACTTCCCCAGGGCTTGGAGTTTTAAGGGGCAAGCAAAAGGGCATGCAACAAAATGGGGGGGACCCGCTAAATAATGGTGTTCCTTTTGGCTTCCCTCTCAACCTGGAAATCATACCCTCGCAAACGCGGCAGACATATGTTTGTTGGTTTCCCTTTAACATGGGTGCCATTGTTCTAGGGGTTGGATCCCCATTCTTTTCAACCAGCGTTCTTTTCAATAACCGGATCCGTTTCCCTGGGTTTTTGAACGGATTCCTGAAAAGAATTAAGGATCCCTGGAAAGAATGGACATGGAAGGTACCCCTAGAATTATTTTAGTCTATTGTAGTGGGAATTGGGATGTTCACTGGGCGGGCCATATTTTGGTGGGTTTCCCTATAACATGGCAGGGCTCCTTGAAAAAACCGAGACATGTGGCTTTTTCAACACCAAAATGAAGGGACACCCGCATTTACAAGTTGCAATGGTTCAGGTGCATCATCCGAATCCCATGGGTGCCGTCCTTTGGGTCGTTGAAGCGAGGGAGCTGCACCCCTTCGAGCGCCTCAGCGTGGAGCTGGCGCTCACGCAGCACTGGAACGAGGCGCTGGCGCCGTTTTGTGCGCCAGGTGCAACCGGTGGGTTCCTTGGTCCAGCTTTTTTTGGGGGATAGCCTTTCTTTGGGGGGGATAGCTTCCCTTTAAACTCAACCAAGTGGATTCCGCCCCCTTTTTTCCCAGCTTTTGTTTGGAGCAAGGCGGCTTCCCTTTAAACTCAACCAGTGGTGCCTGTTTTTCCAACTTTTTTAGGGGAACGCCTCCCCTTTAGAGTCAACCAACCAAAAAGGATGCCGATTCCTTTTTCCCCTGCCGACTTTTTTTCCCCATGGAAACTTATTGGGCATCTAAGGTGTTGTTGTTCGTGTCCCTTTGGGATCTGAAAAACGATCTCGCACGGGTAGACTCAATAGGACCCGGGATCCCAAGCGCGCGTCAGAGCATTTTGGATGGTCTCAAAAGGTAACCTTGAAGAACACCAATCATGTTGAGGTCCATTATTGTGACAGACTTGCCTTCTGGCGAAACAGGATGGGGTCCAAGGATGCTATAGCCAACATGGCAAAAGCACTGCATATAAAGTTCTGCAGAAACAGCTGAAAACTGTTGCAAGCAGGGATCTTGTGTTGACATGTTCGACCAACTTCGCTTTCCCTGCAGAGTGACCTTTCCGGCCTGCGTGCTCAGACCATGTTGGCACCACCCTGGCGGAGCGTGCAGGATACGATGGTCCTTGAGTGCAAGCCATCGGACACCCCGTTTTTTTACACCTTGTTCAACGTGTCCCCTTCAAGTGAGAGGGGTCGGCAACTCAACATGGAGCATCCCATCTCATTACACTTCACCATGAGGAAGCGTCGTTTGACTCCACGCCTGCACCTACCTCCCCTCGCAAGAAACAGCAGGTAGACACACAAAGTGTGACCAAGCTTGCCGCAGAGGCGAAACATCAAAAGACCCAACAAAGGAGAAGCAGCAGTGAACCACTTGGCAACTAGTGCTCGTTCATTTGTTTATGGTTAGAACCTTAATTGCTCATATGGTCCTTTTGAGACTGCCTTGCAAAAAATGGACCAACAGTGAGGTGAAGCCTCTTACCCAATTTGCCAAACTTGCACCAAAAAGGGTCAGCAGACCATCCAAGTCGAAACCAAGAAGACGCACATATGTCGATGAATGTAAATAGGCAACCAGGACTCCTGAAAAGTGGTTGGTGGACACAAATCCCCACCTAAATGGGGTCTACCAGTTCGGGTCCCTTGAAACTCAGACCCATATGTCATGGACGCAATCCATCTCGCACCACCTAAGAATTTCTGGCTTCCGATGGTTCCCCTGTAAATTCCAGCAAAAGTAATGGTTTCTTTACCATGGTGTCATTTCGTGGTGCGAGAAGCAGAAATCGTAACCATCCACAGCATTACCTTGCTGGTGCGATAAGCAGGGAATGAGAAATGGACTGACCCATGTAAACCATCCCAGCCTGGTGGTTTCCTTAACGGGAATCCTCTGGGTAAAAGGGGAACAATTTGTCCTTTGTGCATGGCTGTTGTTGGGAAACGTTTTACATTTCGCTTCTTGTGGTTTGGTGGTTGAATTCCCGCACTTAACTGCTAATGACATGTTAAATTCTTGCTCCCCTTTGACCGTGGCAGCCTGTTGGCCCTGAGATGGGTTGCATTTGTTTGCATCGGGGTGTGACCCGGGTCCCTTCTGGGCGGATCAGCTGGAGCCACCGCTTTAGGGATTCACGCAGTTTCTCCGTTGATACCTTCTTTTTTGTTTCGCCTTTTCAAGAGTAGTCTTCCAACATCTTGTTAAGTTCTATGATTAGGGGGGCACACCCTGGGATTACATGACAGAATCGAAAAAGGCAAAGGTTTCACTTGCAAATACCCACAAATGGGGTAGGACCGGTCCAGATGGGCGATGTCAAAGGGCCTTCCACTGGGGCCCTTTGTGGCCCTTTGTCAGGAAGCCGAGGTTGTGATTCCTGCTTTGCTCACCAGGGTGCCCATATTTCCCTTGACTGATTTAGAACCGCAAACGGTGGTTGCTGAATGGTGGTTGCTATTGCAAGTTTAATGTACTTTGTGGTGATGTCCAAGTCTAAAGGGGAGATACAAAAAAAGAAAAGGGCCCAGCGCATCCAGGGAAGGTAGCTGCTGCTGCTTGTAGCTGTTTTTTCTCGGACGGCATTGCCCCGCGCGCGCAGACTGGTGTTTCCTTTGGAAAGGCTTTGGCCTGTCCGCAGCACAGGGGCGGGCGGGATTCGAGCGTTTGTCTGAGTCCGACCGCATTCATCAAGCAGAACTCTGACATATGCCGCTGTTCAGGCCACCCCTAAGCCCTTGGCGGTTTGGATTGGTTTGGCGATTTGAGCCTGTGGTTCTTGTGGAGCTTGGGCACCCCCTCTACCACCCAACCAGCGGGCTCTGTTCAACAACTGGCAGGCCCCGGCTTCCCTGGTAGAAAGGGCCTCTTTTTTTTGGGGGGTTCCCCTAGTAAAATAGACTGCCCTAAGGGTCTCGACTGTTTTTGGGCCCTCAAAACTGGTTGCTTCCAAAGGCCCCCTGAAGGGGGGCGGGGTTCTCCATTGGAGGGTCCGGGGGTCATTGGAGGGGTCATGACCCTTAGGGTACAGAGAAAAGTTGGTACCCTTCTACCTCTCTGGAGGACCTCGTGAGTGTAGCTGCTCAAAGAAAATGGGGAGCAAATCCCGATTTGAGCTACAGAGGACTTGTCCATTGGAAGCAGTCTGCCCCGAAAGGCAAGTCAATGGAACAATGTAATCATGACCACCGGAGGAGGGGGGGCATTACCCGGTAAATCATGGCCTTTCTGGTGGTTTGCGCCCAAAAACAACTCCCGGCGAGTGGCCACAAAGTTCGGTTTCGACTGGTAGTCTTCCATTTGCCCCAAGTTGGTTTTGCGTGCCAACTGTACCAAGCGGAAGCCGCGTCGTAACCAATCCCTGTCCTCCACCGAACGCTTTGCCGAGCCTTACTCAGCCTTAAACCCCGATTCTACTCGCCCTGGTAGCCCGTCACATCTCAAGCTCCACAAGGTTTCGCTCAACTCAAAAGTGGGCTTTAGTCTCAGCCTCCAAACCTGGAAGCTGTGGGAAGCCATCCAGGCGACCTGCATGTTGGCTGCTGGAGTCCTTGTTGCTCTGTTTTCATGGTCGGATCTTGGGTGGGGGGTCCCTTTCTCGGCAACGAAGAAGTTGTCTAGATTGTTTGAGGGCGTGAGCTAATTGGTTTGTAATTGTAACCCCCAGGGCACACCTGTTCAACAAGCCCCATGCAGTTTGCGAACCCTTGTCACTTTAGGCCGCGGTCTCGTAATCTCCAAACCGCCAATCCAAGCCACTTCAAAAGGGAAGCCACTGGAAGTCCTTGTGTTTCGTGGGTATGTGGCACATGTCCTGTCGAATTTCCGGGTTCGCTGGTTTCTTTCAAGCAAACAAGGTTGAATCCAGGCGAACTTCAGGTTTCATTGGGATAGAATTGCCTTGGCTGTGAGAAGACCACATTGGCCTAGCATGTTGCTTGCTGCAAATCCATGTGTCTGGTAGGTCTTTGGCTCAAATGCCCCGTTGGTTTGTCCCGGTTCTGGTGCTTAACTGATTTCCTGATTTCTGATGGTGGTTGCTTGTGTCTTTGGCCTTCTGGTGGTTGCTTGTGTCTTCATGCTAGGGAAAGGCAAAAGCCAGAGAGCTTATAAGAAGTAGGAAGAGCCAGGAGCGCTTTCCTTCTGGTGGTTGCTCGTGTCTTTGGCAAATTTCCTGCTTTTCTGATAAAGGTCCTTTTTCTGGGGATCTCTTAAATCAGTTTGTGAAACTATAATGAACTTTGCAGATGGGAAGAGCATCCCTATTTTGACCTTTTGGTTTCCCTATTTTGGTCTCATGTAACCTTTGTTGCTGGGTCCTTTGGGCAACTGAGCTGGTTGCGGTGATCCAGTTACCTGTCACTCAAAACCAAGCTCAAAAGGGCGTATCCTCAGAAACTGAGCTGGTGGTTGCTTGTGCTTCCATTGCTTAAGAATATGTGTTTCTATTTTGTTTCCCCTGTTGGTTTTAAAGGGAATCAATTTCACTACCGGACATATTTTTATTTTTTCCAGGGGGGGCAAAAGCAAATGGAGGTGTGTACCTAGTTCCCTGTCGCTCAAAACCAACCTCAAAAGGGGGTACCCTCGACAGCTGAGCTGCTGGTTGCTGGTGTCCTGGCCGGAAACTCCAAGAAATTTCATTGAGAAGAATCAAACAAGTTTAAACACAAGGGGGAAAAAAAAACAACGGAAAACAAATAACAGCTAAGCGTTCAAAACCAGTTCACTGCAACGACTCCGAGGTCTCAAGGACCTCCGGCGCCAGATCCACGAGCTGGGCAGCTACCGCGCCACCGCCGCCATGGTGGCCGCGGACCCAGGGCCTGCAGGGCCTGCAGGGACGAACGGGTGCAGGGACGAACGGGGCCCACGGGGCCCACGGGGCCCACGGGGCCCACGGGGTCCACGGGCCCCGGGGGGGGGGGGGGAGGGGAGGTTTGGTGGAAAGATCCCCCAGTTGCCCAAGGGATTCCGCCCTTTGTCCTTTTCTTTTGGGGGAACTCAACCAACCACCTGAAAAGTTTCCGTTAACTCAGAAAGTGAGAGAAGAAGTTCCGCTCATCTACTTCCATCCCAAGATGCATAGGGGGGCCTTGTGGATTGGCCCGAACTTGTCTCAGAAAAAGCTTTTGGTGTTGAGGTTGGATAGCGCAGGTGTCCTTTTTGGTTGCAAAGTAGAGGGGTTTCAATTCCCGGCTTACCTGGTGGTTCAATCGTCTACCAGGGAAACCCATCTATTTTCCCCAAAAGACGCCTATGCCTTCGGTTCCCTTTGAAGGGAAAAAGAGTGGTGAACAAGGGAAAACGAAGGGTAGACAGAGGGCAAATGAGGGGGTAAAAAAAGGAAAGGGAGGCCAAAAAAGGAAAAGGAGGGGGTAAGAGAAGGAGAAGGAGGGCTAAAACAAGTGTTTTCCGCAACCACCCTAAGGAAAGCCAAAGGAGGTTGTTTCACAGGATGTTGTTTGACTTGCTTGAACAAGGTGGAACCCTGGACACCTTCGGCGTGGTAGTGGGGGGGCGCTGAGGGACCGCTTGCGGGGCATTGCACGAGTATGGCTTCACAGCACCTGAAATCACGGGGTTGGGGGTGGGGGGGGGGGGGCACTTCTTGACTTCTTTGCAGAGGCCTCTTTTTGGAGAAGGATTCCTTCGAATCGAAAAGACAAACAGGCAAAGCTTCCTTTGCATGCGTGTTCCGTGCAAACGATCCACAAGGAGAGTCCCCTGATTTTCGGAAGCACCCACTTGTCCCCTCGAGCCCAATCTGAACATCACATCACCCACAATGCTTTGATTGCCATGTTGAAGTCTTTAATGTTTCCTTCAGTGACACGACGATGTGTCAAAAAGCCAATATGCCGGAGGTTTGTTAATTCTACTAAAGCTGCAACGGTTTGGAAGACAAACGGCTTGGAGACACCTGGGGTGGATTCCTGATTGCATGACAGTCGACAATCTACATTCCCGGGTTGACAACAAAATCGGAGTGTGAGCATTAGATTTTCCGGGACATCGCGTTTTCGTTCCCCAGAAGTTGGAGCGACACCAAAACAGACATCACATCCACGGCCTGTTTACCTTGGTTTCTCTTCGAACTGGTGTCAAAGAGGCAGCCACAGTCTAAGGGTGGAAGTACATACCCCTTGTTCATACCCCTTGGCTTCCGTACCCCTTTTGGGGGGGTATGAACATCAGCAGGCCTTTTGGGTTCATTTGTCCAAGGGGTATGAAAAAGGGGTATGTACAAGCACCCCTGGACAGAGTCTGACTGGGCGAACCATGGCCAGCAAGGCCTTGCCAGCCCCTGTGGCTAAACTCCCAGCTGCCCAGTGGCGCCCTTTTTTCTTTTTTTTGGGGGGAAGGGTTTCCCTTTAAAGTCAACCAGCCAAAGAAGGCTTCCACCGGGAATATTGCGAGGCTTCCAGCTAAGTGACCTATACTCGTGATCGGCAATCAGGTGGCCGATGCTGCGGCCAAGGCAGCAAGAAAAACGCCAGACCCACACCTGGAGTCTTTATAGAACAAGCTGAAAACTTCCACAACTCAGATGTTGCTTGGCATGCAGCGACCATCCAGGGAATTGCCGATAGCAGTATAACATACCTGCACAAGTAGAAGAGTAAAGTCCCAAAATCAGGATCAGGAGCACAAGGAGGACGAAAACATTTGCCAGGATTGGCGGCGTGTGCCAAGACTAATTTTGAGCTCGGGGCCTTGGCATGGCACCAGGCAACTCCAGCTACCGAAGTCCAGGGCTTGCTTTGCCTGATGGCGTGCGTCTACAACTCTCTCGCGGCCTTCCAAAGGTCGGTGGCGTTCGGCTCACGTCAAGCTTGCCTGAATAGGTGGCCCCAGCGACTTTTTTCAATTCAGATTGCCCAGCGTCCATCACACGCTGGCGTACGCTCCTGCGCTGCCTCTTCTGACCTTCCTTCTGCTTGTCTGAGCTCACGCAACTGTGAAATTCTTGCGCCGCGGCCTGGTTCAAGTTTAAACGTTCGCATCTTTCTGTTGACAAGCGCCTTTTGTCTCACGTGCGCGCGCAGCGTCGGATTTCCAAACTCGCCGCCGTCTTCGTCGCCAATGTGGGAGCCCCTGAATTGGATGAGCTGCTGCGTGCAGGAAAACACAGCTTTTCTGTGTCTTTTTGAGACTGCTTTGGCCAGACCAAGCCAATCCTGGCCAGGTATGGCCATGCTTGGCCGTACTTGCGCGTGCTTTCCCGCGCTTGGGGCGTGTTTGCCCGTGCATGGCGCGTTTTTCCCCGTGCTGGGTATGGCCGTGCAAACCCGTACGCGTGCAGAACCCGTGCGACACCCGTGCAAAATCCGTGAAAACCCGTGCTAACCCGTGCACGAACACCCGTGTTTTTACGTAAAAAACGCGTGCTGGCCCGTGCCTGGTTTCGCTGCCCTTTTGGGCATTTTTCCGCGCGCCGAGAGCTCAGCAGTCGCTATTTGGGGGCACTGCGGGGAAAGAAGGGCCTCCAAACACACGGCCCGAGCCAAGCGTGAGCAGACGCGAGTCCGCCCGCTTCGCACGCAAAGCTTGTCGCTCTTCTTGTGACTTGCGGGCCTTGTCATTCTTCTTTTGCCAGTACTTGCCACGCTGCACGCGTGCAATCACGTTCACAACGGCGCGCGTTCTCAATTTCTCTATTCCTTGAACCTTGTTGTTGCTGTCTGCGGTTTTCTTGCAACTACGAAGCCTTGCATTTCCGCGCCTGCTGTTGGCCCTTTGTTATTGCCTTGGCCGCGCCCTTGCTTTTTCCGCTCATTCCTGTGTTTGTTCTCGCCTTGCTGCCTTGGCAGTGAGGCCCTGTTGGGGGCCTCTTGGCCGGCGCCCTGTTGCCTTGCCTGGCCTTGCGCTTTCCTTGGCGCTGTTGCTCTGTGTTTTCTGTATGAACAGGCTGTGGGCGCGGTTCTGCTGGCTGCTCCTCGCTGTTGCCCTGACGTTTGCCTTTCTTCCCCTCAGCCTTCTTGGCAACTGCCGCAGAACTTGCTTCCTTGGATTCCACTTTTTTTTGGCGAGCATCTGTTTGCAGAGTTCTGCTGGATTGCTTCCCATGAGAGTTCTTACTTGCCCTCAAGCTTACGTAGGGTGGCGCACTGTGCTCTCACCCCTTTGTTATTTCGTAATTCGTGGCGCTCGCTTTCATTCCAAGCCTTTACGGGGGTCTCCAATTCCAGCCCAGCTGCCCCAGCTGTTCCCATTCCTGTCTTCTCCGATCTTTTGCCGTCGCCCCTTGCCTAGGTTTGTTTTTCGTGGGCTGTTGCGCCGCGTTGCAAGCGGCAGTGGCAGGACTGGCAACAGGGAAATCTAGGCTAAGGTTCCGGGAATGGACGTTCTGTCAATGTCACGATATGATATGCAAACCAACACGGCGCCTGCGACAACAAAGAGAAGCTGGCTTCCTTAAAGTCGTTGCGTCCCTGAAATTGCGGCTAGCGTTGGCGAGCCCTAGTTTGCCGGCCATGAGACGCAAGACGAAGTCAACCTTGCGAGAAAATTGCGGATAAGGCCCAAGTGAAGCTTTATGTCCCGACATTGTCGTACAGCTGCCTTTGCTCCAGCCTCCTGTGTCTGCAATCTGCAAGCCGCAAAGGAGACGGATAAGGTCTCCAACTTTCTGAAGTAGGCGACTATTACAACAATTGTTTCACCCAAACGCTTCACGAGCGCTCGGGCACTCGTCTTAGAGATTCGTGGTCGCAGGGTCTGTTCTGCCCATTCTTCTTATCCCGCTAACTGCTATTCTTTCTGACGCCTGTGAAATCACTGGAAGCCTTGCTTGTCACGACAAGCTAATCTGCTGGCTCCGCTCGATCCACAGCCTATAAAGGCCCGAGGCCTTCGCGTTTCAGAGGCACAGGAAAAGGCTTCATGCTTGCAAGGCGTGGAGAAGCGGGCCGGGGCCTTTTTTCGGGCAAGCCTTACCTGCGCACAAACTTGCGCTAGCCGTGCCAACCCGTGCTAGCCCGTGCGACCCGTGCTGGTGTGATTATTCCCGTGCTGGAGTGGTTCTTCCCGTGTTGGTGTTGTTTTTTCCCGAAAGAGTGCTCTTTTGGCTTTGGTGTTGTTATTGTCACTCTTGCAGGGCTGCAGGTACTGTCCCCCAAGAGGTCCAATGCCTCCTTGCGGAAGTCCTCCCCCAGGATGTCCTGCATATATGCGATGTGCTCCGCAAAAGGGGCGAAGTGGGCAAGGAGCCGTTCCGCCCATTTTCCGCGCATATGGAGTTCCAGCGCTCGCTGGGTCGTGGGCTCCATTTCCCTGATTTTCCCCGGCCGCCAGTGCCTCCACTTCAGAAGCTCCGGTTGTTGGAGTGGAGGTGGGTCATCTCGTGAGAACCACCTCAGTTGGTCCTGTCGGTCCCATTCATTCTCCAGCGGGGAAAAGTTCTTGCTCGGCTTGCCATCCGCAGTCGCCATGAGGAGGAACCATAGGCTATCCCATAGGTCGGCCAGGTCCGTCGCGGACAGAGGCTGGGGAAGCCTGCCCGCCGCCGACGCCACCAGGCCGTTGAAGTAGTCCGTCGGAACCACTTGGTCGTCTTGCTCCACCGGAATGCCCGAGAGTTCCAGGAGCTGGGCAAAACGGGCTACCGGCTCCCCGCCCAGCTTTCTCCCCTCCTCCTCTGTGCCATGGCGCAGGCACATCAGGACCAACAGCTCCCCGTCCGTCTGTCTCGGGGAGAAGGACTCATCCGCCAAAGTGTCCCATAGGACCCTGGGAATGCGGTCCCAAAAACGTGTGTAAGGCGGGCGCAAAAGAAACTTGGTAGAAACCCTAGCCATGATGAAAAGGGGGGTTCGAGCCTCCTATCGAACGGCCGGGACTCAACCGCGGCACAATGCATGCATGCTCCAAACGTGCAGAATGCCAAGTGCAGATGGAGCAGGCAGGCCACACGCAACCCGACAGGACCAAAAGTCCCCCCCCCGAAATCCCCAAAAGCACGAAGGGGGGGAAACCAACCAGGCGGGGGATCCCCCAAAACCCCAAAGGGGACCTCAGGGAAACCAAGAGTCAGCCGCAGCCACTTTTTCCGAGTCGTGGCTGATATGGCCCGTCCTTGGGGCAGCCACTGCATGTGGCCTCCAGATCGAGGCAATCCGGCTGTCGTGGCGTGTTGAACAGGGGGGAAACAATGGTAAAAGAAGACCCCAAAAGGAGACACCCTTACTCCTCCTCCCCCCCGAGACGGGGCCAAAGGCACCCAAGTCCCGGCGGGAAGAGATCACACGACTCCACATCCAAAAGGGCTGTGAGACACGACCTAGCGGCTCTCACCCTTCAAGATCGCCTCCTTTGCCACCGCGTGGATGGCCGCCAGCCCCGACTTCTCCGGGTTGCTCAAAATGACCGTCCACAAGGCCGTGGAGACATCCCCCAGGCCATTCGAGGAGCTGAAGCGCATGCGGGGGGTGCTCGCGTCGCCCAGGACCAGCCGCTCGTCCCTGGGAGGCTCCGTCGGCTCCACCCTCTTGTAGAACTCCATCCTGTCGCGGATCCACTGGTTGTAGAGCTGCTCCGGGGGCTCGTCCATCCAGCTGCAAGCAAGTGGCCTTGTCTTTGTGCCACCCCGTGATCTGGAGAAGCCTGGTCCCCGCGCGGCTCGCCCTCCAGAAGCCCTTGCAAAATCTGCACATGTAGCCCCCGGTGGTCTTGAACTTCTCCTTGCCCACCACTTCCCAGGCGCTGATGCTGGGCAAGACCAAGCCACACTCCACCCAGAACACGTGCTTCGTCTCCTTGGGGAAGTGCTTGTTGATGTACTTCCGGCACCGCTGTGACCGTGGCCGTGGTGATGGGAGGGTACCGCCTGGTGCCCTGGTCTGGTGTGCGGAGCGTGGTGTCTGCCCCCCCCCAGAACCTTGGCCTTGGGGTCCGCCTCCTTGGCCGCTCCTCCCGGGGCCAGAGGCACCCAAGGGGGGGGAGCAACCCAGCTGCCTCATGAGGTCCTGGGAGTAACCCAACCTGTCGTACAAGGCCCCCGCCGCCTCCTGTGGGACCGGCTCCACCCAGTCGTGGACCACGTTGCAGCGCCAGTTGACTTTCACCTCCACCATCGAAGACTTGCTTAGGCCCGCCACCAACTTGGTGTAGACCGAGTCAAAAGCCTTCAGCGATGACAGCGGAAGGGTGATCCGCTCGTCGCAGACCGCCCTGGAACGAAGCGCCTCCTTGCTGTCGTGGACGGGGGCCACTGGGATCTCCATCACCGGCAACGGGCAGTTGACGATGAAATTCTTGGCCGCCAGAAACGTCCCCATCTCCTTGAAGATGTAGCTCCATTCCGCCTTGCTGCGCGGCTTGGGGATGCCCAGGCTCTCCAGGAAGGGCACCGCCTCCTTCCTCATCTGGAGGATGTTGCCCATCCACTTGTCCGAGGTCGAGCCCTCCGCATTGCGGCCCCGGCGTTGCGTCTTCACGATCAACGGGAACGTGGTCCAAGCCGAGTAGATGTACTTGAAAGTGAACCTGTGGGCGTACACCCCCGTCAGGCTCGGCAGGTCCCACGTTCTCGTCTGCCTGGTCCAGAACACCCCATCACCTTTCGCCCAGAAGATCCCCACCACCTGTTCCGGCGCCTGGCGCTCGCCCCGGTTCACCTGCGCTCGGATCTCCAAGGCCGTGTAGATGACTGGGTCGATGTGGTCCCGCTCGCACGTGAGTGGGTGAGTCATGCGCTCCAGGGCCATGAGCTCCTCCGGCGTGAGCTTGAACTGCTGGTCCGCGCCCTTGGGGATTTCGCCGCTGGTGTGCTTCTTCCAGATCCCCCCAAACATCCGGAGCTCTCCCTGGTGCCTCTCCATCGCCCAGAGGAGCAGGGACAGCTTGCCCTCCTCCGAGTCCAGGTCCGGCTGTGACGTTGGCTGGTCCCCCCCGGGGCCGGTGCCACCAGATCGGGCAGCAGTGCCTCCTGGTGCCATGGATTCTGTGACTCTCTGAGCCTCCTGATGTAGGGGACATACTTCTCCTTCATTTCTCCTATGTGGGGGATGTCCTCGGGGTCGTCCAGCTCCAAGGGGCAGAATACCGATCATCTCCGTGCTGGAGACGACTGTAAATATGACCCCTTCCTGTCTTATTATGAACAATATACCATAGAGCGGTAGACGAGTAGAGCCGTATGCTTGGTATGGTTGACATATTGGACTCGCTGATCCACTGGTCCAAGACTTAAAATGGCATAAACTGGACCCGGTGGAAGGTTGTCGGGACATCTCAGGAGTGCCACTAGACATCTCTTGGGTCGAACTCTGGACTCATTTTCGCATCGTGACACAAAGCGAGGCGCCTCGCAACCTGGCTGAAGCGCCAAAACTTTCACCAGGATTGCGCAAGTGGACGTAGCTGACGTGTCGCAAGAAGCATTTCTGAGAACTATCCCCATGCGGGATGACTAAACAATTTTAGGCACTCTGTTGAAGCCTGAGCCGGATTTCTGGGACGCCGTGATCTTGGGTGAGCCCTCAACCAAAGTTAAATCCATGAGGCTCTTTGGTTACCGCTCTAATTACCAAGGTTTCCACGCAAGACCGCAGATGGCCAGGGCTGAGGAAACTTTGCAGTCTATTGCCTCGGTGCCGCGCAACGTGTCTCAGGTAAGCTGGCTGGGTGTCACGCCAAAAATGCCAAAATTGGAACCCTTGATTGATCTCACTATCCATGCAAAAGAATCCTTGACGCCCGCTAAAACGCGGTTTTATCGATACCGCAAGTACACATCCGACAAACATTTCTTGTGGCCCCCGCCGCCCTTTTAGGCGGGAACGTGATTGCCTGTTTTTGCTTGCGCATGCTGACCACATGCTCCTGCCAAATTGATTTAATTCATGCCTAGTCCTTCCCCTTAGTGGGACGGCCTGATTTTTGGCTTCGGCCAGGATGTGGGCTCCACTCACTCCAATTGGGGGGGCTGGGGTCTTGAGCAATGTGGCGGAACCAGCCAAAGAAGGATGCCCTTTTTTGCCCATCGCCACTGGGCATCTGGGAACTGGTTATCTGTTGTGCCATCGAAAGTGTTCAATCCGGGCAGGGCATGCGCCAAAAAGAACAGGTCGTGTTCCTTTCAAGCAATTCGGCCTCTCTTCAAGCACCTTTAAGCCGGGTGTGCCTTTTTTTGCCTTTGATCTTGACCTCCTCAGGCACGGCGCAGTGAACAACTTCCCCCCAACATAGCGAAACAATGCGTCAGGGTGTTGTTTTTGTCCAATTTTGGCATCACTGAAAAAGGGCCCGGTCGGCTTTGGCTTTTTGATACCCTTTGGTTGGTTTCGCGGGAAACCCAAAGAAAACCCCGCCTCTTTTTCAGGTCTCTCTATCCCTTCAAGAGCCAGCATGTTGCTTTGAGTCCGGTTTCCATTTCCAAGGCGGAGCGAGGTCGCCTGGCCACCTTCATCGCAGATGAAGGAATCGAGGAGTGGCAAAGCTTTTCTCACCGAAGCTCATGCGGCTGTGTGCATCGCAACGATTGTGCACAGTTTGCTTGAACAACTATAACCCCTAAGTTCCCTTCAAAGGGAATACAAAAGGATATTATTGAAACAGTGGTTTGAGCATGATACTCAACGCGGGTGTCCGCTCACGTTCCTTTCAATCCCCGCCAAGATTCCTTCGACTTTTCCCCTCCCAGCTGTATTTGGTAGCCCGAGAAACCTCGAACTTCCGTGTGTTTGTGACGTGTGAGTTCCGGCAATTCTCTTTAGTGCAGTTTGGCGCTACCCTGTACTGAAGTGACCGCACCTCATATTTCATTCAAACGACGGAGACATGGGAGACACGTAGAGACAAACGGGTATGGGTCAAAATCAAAATACCCGGAATTGGACCGCAGGGTTTTAGTCTACTTCTCCACTTACCAGGGTTCCATTGTGGGGTTACCCTATTTTTGACAACCAAATCGCAAGCCAGAGGCCCGAAGGCCCAAGAGCGAGGCCCAAAGGCCCAAGAGCGCCACCAGTCCGGGAAGACGTGCAAAAGGAAGAAGTCCGCCACCACAAACACACAATACACCACACACGACATTTGTTGTGTTTTTTCCTGAGCAAGACTCTCAAAAGAAGACAGACATAGTTCAATGCACAATACACAATACACAATACACAGTACACACTACGGTCTTCGAAGGCAACTAGACGCAAGTCAGACAAGCCGGCAACGGGCGGGGGTGGGGGGGGCTCCCCGTAAGACACCTCTGTGAACCTTGTCACAGGGTTGGAGGTAGCGGCCGGGGAGTGGGGGGGTTTGGAGCGGTGAGGAGATCTTTGATCTTGTCACCAACTGGGAGCCCGTGTTCCAGCAGTTCATCGGCTGCCAGAGGGTCCATCGGCTGATTTGTTGGGCCGGGTGGGACTGTTTTTGCTCGCCCATAATTGGGAACACTGGCAAGTTTGTCGCTTCTTAAAACCGAACTTATATAGCTGCTTATATAACTAATAGATTCCGATAGGCCTGTTTTGGCGAGAACATTTCGAGTGGTGACCCTTATTGGGTCTATTAAAGACACTTTTCAGTTTCCATTTGGCGGGGAAAGTTTTGACGGGACAAGCAGCGAACATTTTTTGATCCAAAGTGCAGGATGCGCTAAGTGTCAGAAACTCAGGGTTACTCGTGACTTGGGGACAACTGAATTCTGCGGAGCCGTCCCCGCTCTTTTTACCCAGCCCCCACTTCAAGCTGTTTGCCCAACAGCTTGAAACTGCTTGTCTCAGGCCGTTGAGTCACGCGATGCCTACTAGCCTGGAACCGGAGCAACCATCTTCAACCCCATTGGAGGCCTAGATTCCCTGAAGATGAAACTGTCAGATGCCCGGAGTTGTTTCATTGGGTGGCCCAGAGACTTCTGTCTTCGCCTGGTTTCCTCTCTCCGGGGTACCGGATTGAAGTCTCTTGGAGTTTTTTTCCGAACCAACCTTAGCGATTTTGGGTGTCCCTCCCATTTCTGAGCATCCCGAAGGTGAACCTTAGGTTTTTTTTGGTGTATTTGAAGCAGAAGCCTTTCTAAATGACGCAGCTGTTTCCACGTTCTTTGGCAGGAACATGGAGTATGTGCCCTTCGCAGTGGTTTCCCCACCCCAACCCCCGCCCCCTGCCCCATGCTTCGTTTTCGTTCCATGTCCCCTCAAAGGCCAGATGTTCTTTGTTGCCCGGTGGTGCCCTTTTTTCCTTTTTTTTGGGGAAGGGTTCCCTTTAAACTCGAGCAACACAAAAAAGGGTGCCCTTTTTCCATGGCCACTGGGCATCTGAGTGTCTCTCAAGCCACATGCCGGCCGCCCTGCATCGCCAGGCCATCTTCAAGGCGCCCTGCATCGACCTGGACAAGCCCACAGCTCCAAGCTCAGATCTCACCCACAGAGTTCGATGTTTTTGGAACCTTTTTCCCCAGATAGCTGAAGCTATAGGGGTTCTAACTTCTAATAAAGAAGGGAAAGTGATTTGCGAGATTGACAGCTGGGTGCTAGGGGGCGTGCAGTTTGGGGTGCTTGTGTAGGTGCTGTTTGGGGTGCTGTTTGGCACATGGGATGCTGTTTGGGGTGCTGTTTGAGGTGCTGGTGATGGTGCGGGTGCATTTTTGCGAGATTGACGGTCGGGTGCTCTGGGAGTGCTAGCTATTTGAGGGTGCTGTTCGGAGTGATGGTGCGGGCGCGCTTCTGCGGTTGATGCCAGGGGGGTGTTTGCTGTTTGGGGTGTTGGTTGAGGTGCTCTTGGCGCAGTGCTGTTAGAGGTGCTACCGTGCAATCGTTGGCACGTGTTTCGCTATCTGGGGTCTATGCTGGTGTGTCATTGTTTTTAGTCGTGGGTGGTTCCACTACCTATGGTAAGATATTAAAAGGCAATTTTTGGTCGTTGGGTGGTTCTAGTACCTTTGGCAAGGTATGAAAAAGCACGAAACCTGGATAAGAAGTTGGGTACGGGTCAGCGGGTTGCGGGCACGGCCCATGTTGTCTTGAATTGAGGAACCCGTCGTAACCCGTGAACGGGACAACACATGGACACCGCAGCCCCGTTTTGGGGCGTCGACTTTGACTCACTGTGCATCCGTGTGCTCACCTGACGCGGTTCGTACATGAAGCTCCAGGTACCTGCTCCATGTGCTTCACAGCTCAGAGGGATTTGTAGTACTGAGTGAGGAAAACCGTACTTTTAGTGCTTGGAGGTCTTGTTCCTAGTCTTGGGGGAAGTGTTTTTTGTCTTGGAGTTTGCTACACAAATTTGGGCGGTGTGAGTACTCAACCGGTTGTTGTATTGGTCTCAATGAAATGTAGTACTGGTATACCAAGATTGGGGTCGCTGGTCATAGAATATGTCAGACCCATTTGTAGACATGAGCTCGACACTACCAGGAGTTTCATTTGCGGCCCCGTTGAATTTGCGAATCAAGTTTCTCAGATCTTGCAGGCATTCCCGGAGATCTAAAGTGACATCTTCAAAGTTACCCTCTAGATGGTTCAAAGTTTGAGCCTGGGGTTCAACCGATTCCCATTGGGACCCCCAATTTCGATGAGCATCCTGAAGGGTAAATGGTGGTTATATTAACCCCACCCTTGTTTCAATGGTGGCCTGCCTGAACCCCGGGTGAGAGTTGCACTACCTTAAGGGCCCACGACCTTCAAGACAGCGCACTGAGGTGGTTTTCGTTGGCGCGCCAAACGCCTGGAGCTTGGTCAACCGCAGTTTGCCCTGTTTTGGACCCTGTCCAAGGTGCAGCCTTTAACGGGAATACCAACTCTTGGATCCTAAAAAACCAAGGCTGTTTTTGATCGCCATCCAAAATGCGTACCAAGGGGCTTTTGGTATCCTGTTTTTGATAACGCCCCAGGGGAATGACTTGACAGAGGCGGTTCTGCATAAACACCTGTTTTCACATTTTGGGTCCAACCGGGCTTAAAACCCCGGACAAACCCCCGGACAACCCTCCGGACAGCTTTGGGGGCCCAAAAGCCCGGGACAAACCCCCGGACAAACTGCCGGACACCTCCGGACAGCTTTGAGGGCCCAAAAGCCCGGGACAAACTCCCGGACAAACCCCGGACAAGCCTCCGGACAGCTTTGAGGGCCCAAGAACCCGGGACAAACCCCCGGACAAGTCTTCGGACAGGTTTGGAACACGCCATAACCACTCGGAAACCACTCGGAAACCACTCGGAAACCACTCGGAAACCGCTCGGAAACCACTCGGAAACCACGCGGAACCCGCTCAAACCACTCGGTAACCACTCGGAGGGAAGTATTCTCGCGGGACGGGGGGTTTGCAGCATAAATCTCGGCAAAGCGCGCGGACAACCCTCCGGACAACCTTCCGAACAACCCCCCGGACAACTTGCCGGACAGTTGTTTGTCCAGCAGTTTGTCCCGCACTTTGTCCCGCACTCTGTCCCGCATATCGAGGGGGGTGTTTATGCAGAAGGGCATTCGTCAAGGAATGACGCCCCATGGGCGAAGCACGTTTGAGGCAAACGTCGCTCGCTCAGGTCGGCAAGTCTTCGCTTGTGCGCTCGATCTCCACCGGCAGACCAGAGGCCTCTTGGATGGGGCGAGGTGGCCGCACCAAGAGCAATCTGATCCTGCACCAGCTCAGAAACCCTGGAATGATCACCATACCAACAAACAGTGGTTTCCCATGGTTTCCATCTGGTGAGGATGTCGTCCATCAGTATGATTGAGGATGTCCAGGGATTGCCTGCATTTTCCTGAAGAGGGCCAAGAGGCGAATGCAGCCCAAGAATATGCTCTCCTTCCAAGGTGCGAAAGCTCTTTTGTCGGCCTCGCAGGTGCCTGGATACAGGTTCAAACCTCAGAGTTGGGTGGGAACTAATACGCGCTTCGTATTTTGTATATATATATATATGTGTGTATACATATATACAGATGTATATATATATATATATTTTTTGCAGGACCATACTAAACCGGAAAAAAACATATCTGAACTCCCAACTCAAACCCAGAGGGTCCAAGTACCTTCTAAGGAGGTACTTAGACCCCTTTTTACCCCCCAAAAGCCATCCTCAGAAGGCACTTGGACCTTCTGGGAAAGAGAGGCAACCCTTGTAAGTATGGTCCTCCAGAGAAATCCGAAGTTCACATTTCGCGGGAGATCTGTTTCGAGACTTTCCGCTCGTCGGACTGAGATTGTGAGTAGCCCGCGGCCCGCTTTTCTGCTCGCGACAGGTGAATAGCTACCCTTACACCACCAAGCAGCTCACCATTGGAGCTGCTCTTACCATCTTCTCGCGGTCGATTTGTTTTTGAGCGGGGGGGGTATCAAAACAACTCTAAATGTGAAACAGGGAGTCCTTGCCAATGAGTTGCTTACATGATGATGAATCACACAGCCCAGCCCCAAAACCCAGATCAATGGCAGACTAGGTCCCCCAGTAGTGCCCTTCTCTCCCTTTTTGGGGGAGGGTTCCCCTACTAAGATAGACTACAGAAAAAATGGTACCAACTTATTCCAACCTCTCAAATCTGGAGGACCTAGCACAAATCGCACAGCCCAGCCCCATGACTTCACTTCAAAGTGACTGTTGGCTGCGAGGGTCTCCCATGGCGCTTCCGAGGTAGCAAGTAGCAATCCGAGCGCTGGATTGAGTTCCCTGTTTGGTTGTTTCATGGTTGTTGTTGGGAAACATTTTACTTATTTTTGCTTATGGTTTGGTGGTTGAAATGCAACCACTTAATTGCTAAAATTTGATTTGTTTGAGCTCCCCTTCCAACGTCAACCAAGTTTAAGCGAGACCTCCTGGGATCTTTGGCCAATGTTGATTGCACTAAAACCTCTGGGGTGGTGAATAGAGTGTGACGTTTTCAGAATGGCATATTTACTTGGAACGGGGAGGGGCCCTTGTGAAAAGGTGTCAGGAGACTTGCAAATATTTCCACGAGTCCCTAAGAGAAAGCAAGGTACTTATAAGGGAGCGGTTTACTATTCCAGGATGAAGCCCACTACTGAGTCTGTGATATGAAATTTGAAGAATGATATAATATCGTTTTGCAACAGTCACACTGAGGATTGAAGGGGAAGCACTCAGATGTCCGCTTAGCAAGTTGTGGGACAAGCCCTGGTGGCTGACCGGTTATGATGGTTTCACCCTACTTTCCAAGCATAGTTTACGATCGATAGTTGGTTGATGCAACCCCTGCTTGCAACATATTGCGAAGTGATGTTCACCCACGATTGCAAGGTTGCAACCCTACATTCCTGACACCCAACTTTCTCAGTATATATGTTTATCCAGGATTACTGAACCCCGAATGGTTAAGACCTACTTGCGATCTAACGTTTGCCCAGAAACAACGCCTGAGTTGGGTAAACCCTGTTTACTGGGTAATGCTTACACAGGATTCATGAACCGCGAGAAAATACTGCCTAAAAGGGTTTTATCCAGTTAAGAGTTGAGCATCCCTTGTAACGCATAAGGCTATGTTTGTGTTTTGGCTCTGTTTTGGGCCTTTTGTTTGGTGCAAATCATGGTGCGGAAACTGAGTTTGAGGGACGTCGTTTTCTGGGCCACTTTGAGGCCCGGGCCGAGGTGTGTAGATTGCATTAATTTCTTTTTCGGCAGTTCAGCTGGCGTCGCAGGCCAATCAATTGTACAGTTGTACATGTTCAAAAGCACTGCCTTCAGCAGCTTCGCAGGCAGAAAGTGAGGATCCTTGTGCGCCACGAGCGCTGTTCATGTTCATGCAGAGTGCCTCACTTCAAATTCGGCACAAACATATTTGGGGTCGACATGGCCCGGCTGAAGCTCCAGTGACCCTTGTGTCATGGTTGTTGTTGGGAAACATTTTACATTTTTGCTTATTGTGGTTTAGCGGGAAATCCCCACTTAACTGCTAAACATTATTTGTTTGCTCCCCTTCCAACGTCAACCAAGGTGTGGTTGAACCTTACGAAGTCAGGTTTACACGAAATAGGTCAAGCGCCCAGGCCGCGGGCACACAGGAAAAGGATTCGGGAGATGGGGGGGGGATGGGGACCCATGGGGACGTGCTTTCGGTTGGTTTTACAGGGAAACAGGCAGGACACCAACAGGAAGGAAGGGAGGAAGGAGTGAGGGGAAAGGAAGCAAAGGAGGAAGGCAAGGTAAAGAAGGGAAGGCAGGAAGGAAAGAAAGGGGAGAAAAGCGGCACAGGGGAAACGAGAGGAATGGCAAAAGCAAGTACGAGAAAGTAGGAAGGAAAGAAGGACGGAAGGAGGGATGAAGTTCGGGCGAAACGAAGCGGAGAGCGGAGCGAGAAACTATTGCAAGGAATGCTCTCCGCTACTCTTTCACCCAAGTCTTCTTCATGAGATATGCGTGAGGCTTGGAGGAGTGAGAGACTGCTGGCTATCTCTGATTCTCTGACCTCTTAATGACAGAGGTAAAAGGGATGTGATGAGAGATCAAGAGATGGCCATCACTCTCTCACCCTTCCTTACTAGTAAGAAGGAGAGCGAGAGAGAGAGAGAGAGAAAGAGAAAGAGAGAAAGAGAGAAAGAGAGAAAGAGAGAAAGAGAGAAAGAGAGAAAGAGTGAGAGACTGAGAGAGTGATGAAGGAAAGGGAAGGCTCTCCTCTCACTCACAGACAGGAATGACATGAGATTGAGAGATGGAAGTGAGAGGAGTCAGAGAGACACCCAGCCCTTCATTCCCGCTCGCCTTCCCTGCAGATCAATTTGGGGGCTCCCCCCAGGGGCTTTTCAAAATGATGGACCCTTTCAGGTGGTTGCCATCCAAAGAGGGACCTTCCCCATGTTGAGATACAGCCAGCTACCCTTAAAGCCATCCAAAAAGGCATGTACCCCTTAAAACCGTCCAAAAAAGGACCCAACCCCGCCCAACCCCCCCGCCCATTTTGAGACGCAGTACCCTTCGGGGCAAAAGGCGGGCGCCCCAGGCCACTTGTGGCATTTCATCGCTGGCACGCCGCTGCTGATCCACGGCCGGGGAAACGGGATGGTCAGAAAGGGCCGGCGTTTCAGACCCTCGAAGAAGAACCTTATGGATGTGCCTCTGCGTGTGTACGTTTGTGTTTTTTTGATAGCACCCGGTTTTGTTTGATCTTTGATTTATAGCTTTTGCTGACGGACCCCCTCTTGTTCTTAGCTGTTTAGCAGTTTTGTTTGCATTTTGGTGCATTTATTTTTCTACTATTGCGTAACTAACTAGGGTAGTCGCGATGTACACGCTAGCTTGACGTGAATCTTAAGAAGCATGCCTGATAAATAGTGTTTTTTGGATCCCCTGCATGGCTTCTATGATCGTTTGCAAGGGAGCTCCTAATGTTTCGAGGTCGATTGTTTTTTAGAGTTGTTACCGGGTAGGAACTTGGTAGCAAAACTACCTGCAGCACGGGGGGTTCGCCGTCAGCCAAATCCCACGCCTGCCACGCAAGACTGAAGCGCGCGTTGCAATCGCATACGCCCTGGCGCTCCGTGAAGCGTTGCGGCTCTGGGTGGTCCTGGCAATTGGGGGGGGGGATGGCAATAGCGTCGGTTGCCCCAAATCAAAAGCACACCTGCTAAACTGTGCACGCTGCCATTTGATAGGCACACCTGCTCAAGTGCACCGGCTCAGCACTGTGCACACGCCAGCCACATGACAAGCACGCCTGCTCAAATTCACCCTCAGCACTGCGCTTGGGCACACTCACCTGCCCAAGTACACCCGCTCAACGCTGCGCAAAAGCCAGCCAGATAATGAGCACACCTGCTCAGACGCACCAGCTCAGCACTGTGCACGCCCTGCCACATGATAAGCACACCTGCTCACGCGCACGCCAACCAAATGATAAGACCACCTGCAGATCTTTTTGCACGTAAAGCCGACCCAGCTCCAATGCTTGGGGCATAAAGGCACGGTCCTCAATTTCGGACCCGACGGCGAACCTGCCGTACTACAAGCAATGCCAGGTTTCTTTGCACTTTACAATGGGATTTGGCTTGCAAACGAGTTGGCTCTTGTGAGGGTTGATATGTTTTTTGATAAGGTTTGGGCAAGCGCCAGTTCAGCTGAGACTTTCTGGAGGACCCCCCCTAAGTAATCTGGTGCCCCTGCGGTCTGCGTCCTCCTTCTGGCCCCTTTCCCAGCCAATTGAACAGGGCTCCTTAAAAGATACATTTTGCCCACTTGAAACATGTTGCTTTTTCCACAAAAATTCAGGGACACCACCATTTACAAGGCAATGTTCAGGTGTACAATGTAAGGATCCCTGTTGAACTGGAAACGGGAGCCTGGAGAAGCTCTTCGGTCCTTGCCTTCTTGGACTTCTTGGCCCCTTCTCAGCAATAGGACGTTGAATGGCAGCAGCTGTTTGCTGAAAATCTCAATCGTCGGGGGGGTTGGTAATGGGGGGGGCCGGCCTCCAATGGGGGTCCCCGTTGCAAGCTTGGTGAAACGATGGTTTCAACATGTTCGAACGTTCTCGGAGTGTGCTAAGTAGCAGTGATAGAAATTCAATTTGTCAAAGGGAAGCCAAAACCAGGGTTTTGAATCTGTCAAAAAGGAAACCAAAGCCATAGTCTATATTTTGTCAAAGGAAAAACATAACCATAGTTGTTTTGTTGTCAAAGGGAAACCACAACCATAGTTTTGAACTTGTAAAAAGGGAAACCACAACCATAGTGTTGAATTTGTCAAAGGGAAACCAAAGCCATCGTTTACATTTTGTCAAAGGGACACCCAAGCCACATAAAACATTTCGTCAAAGGAAAACCACAGCCATAGTTTTTTAATTTGTCAAAAGGAAACCAAAACCATAGTTTCGAATTGTCAAAGGGGCACCATAGTTAGTATTGAATGTGTCAACACCAAACGGGGATGAGCGATTTTGGTTTGCTTCTGTCCTAACCTTCGCAGACTCGGCGTCGGAGTGCCTGCCAGGACAGATTGTGGACTCGCCTGGCTTGAAGTTTGGCCCAGGCCCGATCTCTGCAGTGCCATGCTAAGTGGGAGAAGTGTTCTCAGCGGATTTAAGACCATGCGCGTTGGTGACTGGTTCAGAATTAACTGACTCTGAAGGTCATAAGAACCCACGTCTCATCAACCTCTCAATTGGGCTTTTGGACGACCAAAGTAAAGGTTCCCCTTGAAGCCAGGACCGTGACCCACATTTTTGTTTTTGTTTGCGGCGGGCGAAGTATGTTGCACGTTGCTTCTTCCCAAATCTGGGCATCCCACTGCCTGCCTTCTAGCGGGTCCAACATGTCTTGTCGTTCCCCCCCCCCCCCCAATCGCTCTTGAAAGTATCGCGAAGGGTGCTTCCGTGGGCTCTGTTTGGCTTGGCCTTGAACAGAAAGCTTGCTCAGAGAGCTTGCACACCAAAGCTCGCTCAGAGAAATCTCACGGAGACGCATGCACAGAGAAGCTTGCACAGAAAAATTGCGTAGACAAACTTGCATCGAGGAACTCGCGCGGAGAACTTGCTCAGAGAGACTGCGCAGAGGAAATACCCAACTTGCGCGGAAAACCAGCACAAACAACGATGCATGACTATTTGCCCCGTGGGCATGTTGTTGCCTACAACCTAGTAAGTTGTACCTTCGGGCCTGTTTTTTCACGCGGGCGTGTGTGTGTGTGTGTGTGTTAAAATTCGGGTGTGCTTTTCCTCAAAGAGAAGCCAGGAGACATGTGCCTTTACCATAGCCACTGGGCATCCTTAGAATGCGGCTGCTTCATTTCGTCAGGCAGTTTTAAATGAACATGGCCATGAATGGCGATAATTGTTCCCGCTGGCACGTGCCGTGGGGGGGGTTGGGGGGGGGGCGGGGAATTGTACTGCAGCCATTTGGAGATGGGCATCAGTTGCCAGCATAAAAAAAAGCAATGGCGGACAATGTGGATGGACGAAATCCATTTCGCACCACCTAAGAACCCCTAGAATGATGGTTCCCCTGTAAATGCCAACAAACAATGGAATCCCATGGTTTCAAAGTGGTGCAGGATTTTGTCCATCCACTGTATTGCCGCCGTTGTTTAGATTGTCTGATCAAAGTCTGATTTAGATTGAGTTCAAGTTCGATTTTGGGAAAGAGATACGGATATAGCCTTAGGTACAACAATATCATTACAGATTTGCAAATCGCTCTATAGATACAGATGCAGATATAAGCATGTGGAAACATACATGTTTTCATATGTCACCATTTTTCAAGGTGCATGAACGCATCACGTGGCAGATTCAGGTTGGCTCATCTAAGTGTTGCAGGCTGTCAGAAAACCAGACGCGTGTGGCATGGGCCATTGGATTGGGTGTGAAGGCGTTTGAATGGATTTTCTGCCCCATCCAAGCCCGCGCGAGTTCTGAAGATGCCACATCCATCAAGATTAGCCATTGGTCACTCCCGGCTGTCCTTGAAGCATGCCTTGGCACTTCCAAGCTCGTGGGCTGGCGTTCCAAAACCACCGCAGTAAAAGATGTCCTCAGCTAAGCATCCCAACGGCGAAACCGTTTTTTGTTCACACATCCTCGTTTTTATTGGTAGCGAGGGAGTTTGCGTGACCCAACATTACAACTTGGGGGCCATTCTACACTTCCGACCAACAGGGCTGCAAGGAAAATACGTTCTTTGGTTGGAATTTGATGCACTGCATAAGTTGGAGGTCAGAAAGGGCCACAATTTGTTACTTGCCCCATCCCGGTGTTCCACGTTGACCTTTGTACCAGACACTGGGCAACTGGATTAGGGTTAGGACTCGGACCAATTATGATATCCATCATATTCAGTATTGCAGAAGACAGACGCCAGCATCCAGCCAGCTGCAAACATATGCAAACTCTATCCCACTTGTTGGTTGTGTTTCGGGCGATTTCGGCCATTTTTGACCGCACGCCAGGGGGGAACCACAATTTGATGGACAAGCTCACTATGGGCTCCCTGCTGAGAAGCGGATTCCGCGTATTACGTTGTTTTACCCAGAGGCCATGTATGCCATCAGGTACCCCCCTTAGTTGATGGTCTGTATTGGTGGTTTTTGCGGATTTGAAGCCCTGGTTCTTGTGGAGGGTAGATGGGAATCTTACCACTCCGTGACCACCAAACCACAAATTCAAAGGAGGATGGGGATGTCCAAAGTGGTCCTCGAATGTTGGGGTGCCATGTTGGCTTTCCTTTGATGCAAGTCTGGCTTCAACGCACGGCGAGTCAAAACGGCTAGGGAACTCTTGCCTGTTTTCCGGTTTTGGACAGGCACACCGACATACGTCTAAAATTGTGGGGTACTCTCCCACCAATAAACATGGGATCATGACAGGGCGGTCCTGGAAGACCATTCTCCTGTTAAAGGGCCCCCTGTCAGGTACCATCTTAATTGGTGGCACTGTTTGGCAGGCAGGGCTGATTGCAGCGATCATGCCCCGACACGAGATCCTTTCAGAAAGCGATGTCCGCTCAGGACGATATTGCAAACCCGACAGAAACCACACTTGAAGTGCCAGAATATCATCTTATTTGTTCTGGCTTGCCCAACTTCCAGTCACCACACGGGAGCCAAGTCGTGTGCACCCATTTTTTTGTTCGCGTCTCAGTGAATAATTGTTGGAGGCTATTTGTTCAGGAGGTTTTGTGTGTTTTTCTCTTCTTGTTTTTTCCGTAATGGCTTTTTGGCTTCTTGGTTTTTTGCTTTTTGGCTTCTCGGCTTTTCGGCTTTTCGGCGGCCGCGTGCTTGGACCCGATAAAATTACGAGCTCTATCCCTTGACGGAAGTGGTTTCAGTGCTGTTCCAATTTCTGTGGATTGGGATGGGCCATACAGTCCAGTCACCAGCAAAGGCTTGCTGTAGGGCAATTTCCGTTCTCTTGTGAGAGGGCAATGTCCTTTGTCGTCATTCCCCAACCGGGCTTTCCGTTGCGGCTGCCCACCGCTCATCGATTATTTTGTGACCCGCGTTGACCAGCGCTTCACTTTGAAGAGAGTCTCGGCTGGCTCTACCATGTGCTCCGAGCATCTTGGATCTGCTCTCCCTTGAAGGGGGTTGGGAATCTTGGGCTTGTGCCCTGAACTTAAATTCCCCATTTGCTGTAGGTGGTTCTACTAATGCTGACCCCGGATTTATAAACCCCTGTTTATTGATATGGGGATGTTCCCCTCCAAAAGTAATGAATCCCCACTAAAACCAGGAAGACCCCCATATTAATAAACAGGGGTTGATTTATCCGGGGTCAACATTATCTGGTTTCATAAAGGTTATGGCTAGGCAGATTGAAAAAAACAAAAAAACATGCCACAATGTTGGCAGAGCCAAGAGTCAATTGGTCCTGGGCGCTTTGGCCAGACCCAGATGAAGGCTTAGCAGGTCCTTGACGTTCAGGTTCTATGGAGAACTTGCCTACCGCGGTGGTCTTCGTGTTCGACCCATACCCACATGGGTTCCACCCTGAGTTTCCGCCAAAATCGGGACCCGGGGACAAAGGAGGCGGGTCTGCTTCACATGAACGGAACCAAGCCAGGGTTGGATTTCCTGTGCAACCATGGTTCCAAACAACCTGCTTCCCCCCAGTTGCCCAGTGGGGCCCATTTGTCCTTTGTTGGGGGAAGGTTTTCCCTCTAAACTCAACCTACTGGGCCGAAAACGGATGCTCTTTTTGTTCGCATGGCCACAGGGCATCTGTCTCCCCCGCCTTTTCTGTTTGAAAGTGATGCCTCGACATGGGGAAGCTCGCCAAAAAAGACAGATGATGTCCAGCTTCTTCTGAAGGTCACGAACCTGGGTTTGCGTATGGGCCACCATCTCACTGTGTAAGATTCACTGTTCGTGGCGTGCGTTTTTTTTGTTCATGTTTGGTTCTGTTCCTTTTTAGTAGGGGGAAGGAAACACAACTTTCTACCATACCAATGTCAAGCAAAAGGGGTTGCAGGACCATAGGGTCCCTTGATACCTTACCCTTCTAACCCCCCCGTCAAAGCCCCCATCCTCAGGTGAAACTTGGAGGCTGTCTGTGGGATTCTCAAAAACAAGTTTACTTTTCGCAGGACGCCACAACCTTCATTGTTCAGTTGAGAACCCGCTATACACTGTCTCAGTTTGAAGTTAACTGTAGGGATTCTCGAAATCACCTAAAAGGGGTTGTTTTCTTTACCGCCGTTGAGTGGGGAATTTTGAGGACTGGGACATCAGCAGTAAGGGTTTGCCGGGAGGCACCAGCAGCCTCTCTGGGATTTGAGCATCAACCCCAAGTAAGGGCATCTTGAGGGGTTGGGGATAGTTAAGATGGTTTTGGCCCAATCCACGGAAACCCAGTTGCTCAGTGAATTCCGCCCATGTTCAACTTGTTTTTGGGAAGGGCTGCTCCTCTTTAAACTCAACAAGCCGAAAAAGAATGCCTTTTTTCCCATGGCCGCTGGGCATTTGAGTAAAAGGGGGTGCGTGCCTGCTATGACTCTTTCCCAGGCAAGACTACCCTTTTGTGCATAGGATGATTTGTTGCGGATGAAAGTAGATGGAACAAACCTTCACATGTTGTTGCCCACAGAGTCTCTAGCACCTCCTTTGAAAAAGGGCTTTTGGGGGCCAAAAAGGGGTCCTTAAGGACCTTCTTAGGTACCGAAATTTCACCCTTTGGGTTTAGTCATCCCCTTCACCCAGAAAGTTACCGGAAGATTGGGTGAAGGAAGGCGGGGGGGCGGTGGCTGAGCATCCTATGCATAGCGTCCTTTTTGGTTGTTTTGGTCGACCCTGGCTTACCCGGTGGTTTAATCATCTACTGGGGCCATCTAATTCCCCTAAAAGGACACCTATGATCCTATGGGAAAACCTGGACTAGGGTCCCAGGGTTGCTGCTTGTTCGGAGCTAAGTGGTCAGCAGTGAGTTGGACCGCTGAGCAGGTGAAAGCCATGGTTACCACGTACTACCTTGGCCGACACAAGTAAGGGGCTGAATTCGGTGCTGGTGGCTGAAACTGTTGCAACCAATTTGGGTGTGGGTCAAAATTAAGCCACCAGGGGACCGCGGAATTTAGTCATGTGTTCCATTTAGCAGGGTCTTGACCCACACCCATTTGTTGCAATCTGAGGTTGCTGGATCTGGAGAAGCAGGTGGAGTTGCGAGAGTCCTTGAGGCGGGATGCAAGACGCAAGGCGCTTGACCGAAAACCTAGCTTCAAAATGAGTGCTTCATCCGTACGATTAAATCATTTCCGCGGCTTCCCTGTTATTTGGTGTCCCACAAATTACATTTTGTGTTTCGGTCCTTTCAATTCGCTGAGGCCATTCCCCTCAATTCTCTTGGTGGGGATTGTCCGGTTTGTCATTTCGGAAATGGCCAGCGTCCGACCCTTGTTGGTTGCTTGCCCCCATGAAAAGTATGGCAAGGACCCAAGCTGGATGATGAAGCTCTGAACGACAAATAATGGTGGTTAGATTAACCCAACCATTGTTGTGATGGGGGTAGCTGAACCACAGGGTGGTTCTTTGTTTCGCTTGTTCAAAGGGGGAGGACCCTCAACGGCCAATCTGTCGGACCTACACAGCGGGAGCTCCGAACTACTCTTTGTTCGTTTCTCCCCGGTTGAGCCGCATAGGGGGAACCGCAACTTGGTGGAACAGCCTGCGGATTGCCATTCGGTGGCAGAGGCGACTTGCTGGTTTGCAGAAAAAGAAACTGAGATAATATGCCCTACCAACTACCAACCATCCCTTGTGGTTTCCTTCAATTCCCAAGCCCCCATGTGAGAACCATGGTTGCAAGAACAGACTTTGTTGGGTTCCCCGTACCAAGGGAAGCCCCACTTTAGTGGAAAGACGTAGATCATGGGAATCAACCGCTTGTCACTGAAGGGTGTTTTCTTTCCATCTCAGTGGGTGGTATGTTTGGTGGTTTTGGTGGTTTGGAGGCTGGCAGCTAAGGCCTGTCTTGCCAAGCTGGAGCCTTTCGCGCTAAGAAACTTAGCGCCGCCGGGCACGCAGGTCCAGATTTCCCCGACGGCCCTGGCTGGATGTCATTACCAAAGTTGACATGGAGGAAGAGGAGACGAAGGCTCGGTCGGCAGGAACTGCCACTCGGCAGTTGCCTACCGGAGGTTCGATCCTAAACTTTGCCCCAAATGTCGAACAAAAACCATTGGCCCCCTAATTTTCCCATATCGTCTCTGAGAAACAAGTAATTTTGCCCGTGGCTGACTTGTACCTCACGGAATCATCACTTCACGGCGGTGGCCGCTCTTTTTTTTGGTGTTGAACTTGAAGACGTGCCAGACCTCAAGGGCCCCCGCCCTAGGGCCTAGGGCTCCTCAAGAGGTTGGTTGGCCGTTCAAAGCGTTGCCCTTTCCACCGAACCGAAAGGAAACCACCATTTGGGGTGGGGGGAGTAGTATTCAAGTGGATAATATGAGAACCCCGGTCAAAAGGGAGGCCTTAGTACGTAGGGAGTTGATGAAACAGTTTGGTGTTTGAATCATGCCCAGTTGGCGAACACCCTGCAACCCACGAGGGTTGTTTGCTTCTGGCGCTTTCTTTGACCCTGAAAACTAACATGGAGCCAAGAACAGAAAAAGGTCTCCCAAAAGAAGGTTCCTC